CTGAAGCACTTTTTTAAAAGATTTTATTTTTAGAGAGGGGAGAAGGGAAGGAGAAAAAGGAGAGAAACATCAATGTGCAAGAAAAACACTGATCAGTTGCCTCTCGCATGCACCCATCCGGGGACCTGGCCCACAACCCAGACATGTACCCTGACCTTGAATCGAACCAGTAACCTTTCAGTTTGCAGGCCGGTGCTTTAATCCACTGAGCCACACCAGACAGGGTTGACGCACTTGAAATTAACGTGTGAATCTGCTCAGTCCAAAGGTTTGGATCTATTTTCTGTAGTCCCTATCACCATTCTGTGAGTGGATGAGACCTTCAGTGTCCCTTGATGTAGTTGAATAAGAAAGAAGCATCATGTTCAGCTTCTAGACACATTTAGTGAGCAATACAGAAACTGTCAAGAGAATAAAGCAGAGTTTGTGTCTTGCAACTTTTGAATTGTTTTTCAGGTGTAAAATCACTGACAGGATGGTCTGAGACCCCTTTCCAAAACTCCATTCATTTAGTAGGGCTGGGTTAGAAGTGACACATCTCCAGCTCTCTTCCTAGGCCCCTGAGCATGGGCATCTAAGAGGACAATAGCAGACTCAGTGCAGTATGCCAAGGGTGCAAAGTCATATGAATAACAGGCCAGGGCAACTAAGATTGAGGTTAAGAACTTTGGCCTCAATACCACTGTATGTCAACCAACAGAGCTAATGAAACAATACTTCATCTCAGCAGATGGGCGTGCAGCATCTGTGTTCCAGGTACCTTGCTTGGTCCTGGAATTACAAAAATGCATAAGAAATTGCCCTTGTCTTTGAGCCACTTGTCAAATTGGGGAGAAAGACACAAAAATAGGTAGTCCCATACCAAGGTACTATGAGAACAGCCATAAAACTTCCAAATTCTAAAGCCGGAAAGAGCCCTGGTTGGTGTAGCTCAGTGGATTGAGCTCTGGCCTGTGAACCAAAGGGTTGGTGGTTCAATTCCCAGTCAGGGCACATGGGGGGGTTGCAGGCCAGGTCCCCAACAAGGGACTCATGAGAGGCAACCACACATTGATGTTTCTCTGCCTCTCTTTCTCCCTCCCTTCCCCTCTCTGAATAAATAAAATCTTTAAATAAATAAAACCTGAAAGAAATGAGCTAGCCTTTCTTAGACATGTGTTATATGCCAGGTGCTGTGCTGAGCATATTTCATGTGTTATCTCTTAATGTTGGAAATGTTATGAAGTGGACACTATTATTATGGGCTTTTTTCAACAGAACAGGAAGCTGAGGTTTAACAACATTGTACAGTAGAACTTTCCACAGTAATGCAAATGTTCTGCATCTGTACTGCCCTGTCAGTACCCGCTAGCCACATGGGGCTGTTGTGAACTGGAAATAATGGTAGTGCAGCTGAGGAACGGAACTTATTCTTTTAGTTTTCATTTTAATAGTGGTTAGTGGCTCCCGTATTGGACAGTCAGGCTGAGAAAAGTCCTCAACCTCTACAAGGTTCTGTGTGGTCTGGTCCTCCATTACCTCCGCTCACGTCCTACTTTTCTCCTCCTCACCCACCCACTCCAGCCACCCTGGCCTCCTTAGGGTCCCTCAGAAGCACCCGGCCTGTGCCACATCTGCGTAGCTCCTCCCCTTCTCTCCTTTGGATCTTTGCTCAGATGTCACCTTCTCAGAGAGTCCCATCGTGGCCATCCCGGAAACTCCCAATCTCCCTTACCCTGCTCTTAATTTCTCTGTATCACTCATTATTGCTAACATTATTATGATAGTATGTTTATTATTATTTATTAATTGTCTCCTCCCCCAACCTTATAGGTGCCATGAAGATTTTTGTCTCCTTTGTTTATTGATATATCTCTAGTGCCAAGAGTAGTGCCTGAAATACAGTAGTCACTCAGTAAACGTTAGTTCACTGATAGGACTGGTAGGATTCAGACCCGGCCTGTCCACACTGAAGCCTGTGTAACCATTCATTTCTCTAGAGAGTGTTCCTCCCAAAGTGAGTGGGGAAGAATGGGCAAAAAGCATACCTGATGCCAGTTCACTGCATTATTAAGTCTCAAGAAAATAAAAAGCTGCCATTTAGACAAGCTATTTTATAAATGGCAGTCTGGAAGAGCACATCAGCTCTATTTAATTTTTTAATTTTTACCCAAGGACATCTTTTCATTGCTTTTAGAGAGAGAGGATAAGAGAGAAGCACTGATTGGTTGCCTCCCTTGTGCACTAGAACCAGGGATGATTTATGCCCGGACTGGGGATAGAACCTGTAGCCTAGGCACATGCCTTGATTGAGAATCAAAGCCACAGCCTTTCGGTTACAGGACTACGCTCCAACCAACTGAATCACGCCGGCCAGGGCCATCAGCTCTATTTAAGACACGACGTTAGCCCTGGCTGGTATGGTTCAGGGGATTGAGTGCCAGCCTGGGAACCAAAGGGTCGAAAGTTCCACTCCCAGTCAGGGCACATGCCTGGGTTGCAGGCCAGGTCCCCAGTTGGGGGCATGTGACAGGCAACCACACATTGATGTTTCTCTCCTTTCCCCGCTCTCTAAAAATAAATAAACAAAATATTTAAAATAAAATAAAACACACTGTTAATCTCCCCATTTTACACATAGTAAATAGGAAGGAAGAGACTTACTGATCTTCTAGAGTCAGCCAGAAAAGATGAGAATCTAAACCAATTTATCTTACAGCCCAGTAAGCCAGTATTTGAAGATGCTTGTCCTAAATGGCTTGCCTCTCCCCTTTGGCATCCAGTCTGTTTCTGATCCACCTCTGTGGAATTTTAGCTCAACTTGGATAAGGGCAGAGTCTGCCCCACAGTCTCAGGGGGCTACCCCCGAAACCCCAGGCCAGAACCCCTTTTTCCATCTGTGATCTTGTGGGCCAGAGCAGCAGGTCTGGAGCTGGAAGAGAGGCAGAATTCTGCTACATCTAATTTCCTTTGTTATTTCATTTAGCCCTACAACACTGACAGCAAAGAGTGAAATGTTTATGTGTAACATAGATACAGCATTTCATACTAATTCATTGATGAATCTGTTGTTAGATCTCACCCACCAATCCTGATGTCAGATTTCATTTCTCTTTTGGAGGTTTTAACCCCTTTCCCCAAAGAGGACGTTACACCCCATAGTAGTCTAGGGTAACCAGACTTCGGTGTACCACAACTGTGATGCTTTCATGCATTACCATTACTGGCCACAACAACTCCATATTGAAGAAACTGAGACTCAGAGTGACTGAGTAAACTTGCCCAAGACCCACCACTAGCACCAGAATCATCAGTGTGCGGTTGCCTCCTGCGCACCCCCACCAGGGACCTTGCCTGCAGCCCAGGCACATGCCCTGACTGGGAATCGAACCAGTGACCCCTTGGCTTGCAGGCCAGCACTCAATCCACTGAGCCACACCAGCCAGGGATGAGCCTATTGTTCTCTTAACTGCTGCTGATGATACTCCACTGAGCCATCAGTAGGTTCTCCTGAGGAGCCATGTTTTCTATTCCATTTAAAAAGTTTTCTTAAAGGGACCATACACATATTCCATTTATTTCCTAGGTAAATTCCATAGTTGTGTAACGCAGAGGGAGGAGAAGCACAGCATGTCACCACTCCTTTCACACAGTGCTTGGAGTTGCGTCCCTGAGAAAGTCACAGGGCGAGTACTGAAAGTAGCATTTAGCAGTCAGTAAACAATTAACGTGAAATTGTAACCAAAGGCAAGTACGTGTGTTGATCAGGTTCTCCCGTCTCTCTGCCCCTCCTCATCCTCAGCACTGGTGTAGTGCTGCTCCCAGGGGCTACTGCACAGGCCTCGCCCCAGGCTGCTGTCTTCACTCTCCTCTGCAATTTATCTTCTGTACTTGAGTTATCTTTCTTTAACGTTCAGTGATTTTTAGAAAGTGTGGAAGGGAGAGAGAAGGAGTGGGAGAGCAACACTGATGTGGAAAACATTCATCACTTGTCTCTCGTACGTGCCCCAATCAGAACCAAACCCACAACCCAGGCACGTGCCCAGAGGGAATGGAACTAGTGGCCTTTTGCTTTCCGGGACTATACCTGGCCACCTGAGCCACACTGGTCATGGCTGTAGTTATCTTGTAAAAGCATGGATCTGATGAAGGCACCCTGCTGCCCAACAACCTTCAGCACCCCCATTGTGTGGGACGGCCTTCCGTGCAGGCTCACCCTACTTTGCTGGCACCCTCGCTGCCCACTTGTCCTGTTATCACCTTCACTGCACCCTTTGCTCTAACCTGCAAGATGGTCTTTTTCACAACCGTGCATTGGCACGTGCTGCTCCCCATGGCAGAAACATCCATCCATCCTCTTTGTTTACAGGTTGAATTGCAGCTTATGAAGGTAGTTCTTTGTCTTCATTATGGTAGTACCTTATTTTTACCACATTATAAAGCCAGCAGCATGCTTTAGTGAGTTCTGTGTGTCTCTCTTTCCCTTTAACTTTGGGCTCCTCAAAGGCAGGGACAGTAATCTCTTCATGTTTGCATTTTCACCCCTGACATCCTTTCTGGCAGAGAGAGTTACAGAATACAACTGCATTGACTATTTAAGTGGATGGCATTTGCAAAGTTTTACTCCCATTTCTAAAGGATTTTATCCCACATATGCTCAGTGAAGAAGTGGATAATAGCTTTTCTGTACTATTATTTTATTATAGTCTGCATAGATGAGACGAATTTAAAAAGTGAAGTCGAACTGACCCCGTAAGGGAAGGAAAAGCAGACAAAATTGGAGTACATCTGACAGTGTTTTTATCTTGCATCCTGATGGATTCTGATCACTTTTCAACTTACTGAACATGATATACCTGTGTCTCGACCTCAGGACCTTATTGGAGGAGAAATGCATTCCTAAAAAGTCCTTCAAGAGGTTTATAGCGGGTTCCTCTGGGTTTAAGTGGTGTTCTGAATTTACTCAGGCTGGGAGGCCTTCAGTCTGGTCCCAGTGGCTAAATCTCTTCTTTTCTCCGCAGGGAAACAACTGGAAGGCATCTGGTAAGTTGGGCGGGGTGCCTCACAGTGGCTGGTTTATGAAACAGAGCTGTACCCAGGCATTTCGGGTTCCATTCTGTGGCTCCCAGCTTGAAACCTGGCTCTCTGTACCACAAATCTTCAGGTTGTAATGCAGGATTCTCAACCAGGGATTGTTTTGTCGGCCCCCGCCATCCTGGGACATTTGGCAATGTCCAGAGACGCTTCTGGTGGGTGGAGGCCGGGATGCTGTTGTAAACATCCTGCAACGCCCAGGCAGCCCTCCGTCCGTGACAAACACTTCTTCAGGCCTCGGTGGCGGCGGTGCTGGGGCTGAGAAACCCTGTCCTTGGGAAAGGCGGAGGGATGTGCTGCCCACCCCGGCCGAGGTTTCTGACCACAGAAGGCCCAGGGCCACACGTGTCTGTGTGAAAACACTTGGACTTTGGTCTCTCACTATGGACTCATCCCTGTCAGACAGGATGGTACCTGAGCTCTCCGTTCCATTGATAAGGAAACCATAGGTCACATCTGGTCTTGACTCCCATGCTGACATTGGATTGACCGGAATAACCTTGTGCTTTAACTTGAACCAAATACTATGAGCACCTTCGCCTGAAACAGGTCCACACTTTTTACATCGTTTGCTCTTGCATCAGCACGCTCCAGGTGCACTGCTCCTGTTAGTTTAAAAAGCCTGGGGACTGACCTTGCTGTTTGGTAATTGATTTGTCAAAATCAGGGTGAATCTCTAGGGACTCCCATCTGCTCACATGATCTACAGCAGTGGTTCTCAGCAAGGGACAGTTCTGAAACATTTGACAAGGTCTGGAGACACGTTTGGTCATCATGACTGAAGGGAGTATGGGTGCTCCTGGCATCTGGCAGGTGGACACCAAGATGCTGCTAAACATACTGTACCACACAGGACAGCCCCCGATGTCAGTAGCGCCAAAGCCCATAATCCACGTTCTTTATCTTGCCTTTGCTCCGTTTGTTTTATAAGGCTGTTGGCCACAGTCATATCCTCAGGCAGAAATGATTCTCATTGCAGGGTGGTGATTGCTCTTTCTCAAGGCAGTTTGACATTTTCTGGCTTACGCTGCCTCTCCTCTGCATTGCAGGCACACCTCCATAGTTGTTCACAAGGACGAGTTTTTCTTCGGCAGTGGTGGTATCTCCAGCTGTCCCCCGGTGAGTCCTGCCCCACACCCTGTCCTGCAGTCTCAGGTTCCTGGAGGTCCCCAGAGACCAGGGACTTGTCCACTGTACACGTTCCAGTTTCTAGCCCAGTGTATGTGGGCCTGTGACATAGTTCTCATAACTACCTTAAGTCTCAGCTCAAGAAAATCCTTCCTAGACCCTCCAGCCAGTCACTCAACTGTATTCCCATGGCACTTTGGGTCCCTCTGTGTCACACCGAACATGTTATGGTGAAATGGGCTGTTCCTGAGTCTCCACAAGGAGCTGTGTGTAAGCTCCTTGTAAGCCAAGGCCGTCTCACTTTTCTGTCTGCATGACCAACTCAGTGCCTGGCTCACAGTATGAAGTCAGCCAGTGCGAAGCTGGATATGAGGGCTCTGAGCGGTAAGGCGAGTTGCAAAGGCGCACGGCCAGGTCAGTGGCACCAGGACTGACAGGTCTTTGACTGAAGCCCGTGCCATTTTCCAGTGTTTCCATCTGAGCTATCCAAGGGTTGTCACCAGAGGCGCTCAGACAAAGGACACACAGCCACTCATCTCGATATTCACCAAGGGGAAGTCATTCTTGGCTTCTTCTCACCCACCGGTCCCGCACCTTCTATGAGGAACCCTTCACTAAGCCCAGTCGGTGCCGCCTCGTCGGTGTGTCTTAAATCAGTCTCTCTCTCCTCACCTTTCCCCATTTCTCCGGAGCTTTCCCCTTAATCCAGGCCACGCTTGCGCCCAGCCTGGGCCAAAGCAAAGCATCTGCTCTTTGTCAGTCGGTTCTCCCACGGGAGGCAAAGTGACCGTTTCGAAATGCAAACCTGCCCGTGGCATTCCCCTGCCTGAGTCAGAACTGCCCCGGTTGTTCTCCAAAGGAAAACCAGAAAGCTCAGCATGGCCTCCGAGGCCCTGGCCCGTCCCTGTCTCTGGACGGCCTGTTCTCAAGTCCCGCCCTCGCCTGCCCGTTTCTCTTCTCACTCCTTGAACACACGTAGACATTTAAACCTGTCCTCTGACTCCACTCCACCTGCCTCATCCTTCACCTTGTCCTTCGGACTTGAACTCACTGTTACTTTCTCAGCCAAGCCTTCCCTGACCCTTCTGCCTGGGACAGTCCCCGATCGTGTGTTCTGACAGCATCCTATGTTTTCCAACAAGACCCTTACTGCAACTCATAATCATACATTGGTTTATGGGATTATTTTTGTCTGCCTTCCCCAAGGGCAAGAATCTCGTCTTGTCCACCTCATACCCCCAGTGCCTAGCATAAGGCCTGGCGCACAGTAAGTTCTCAACAAATATATGTTGTATAAGTGAATAATGGAGGGGTCAAGTAGTGACCTTTTAGTCTCCTGTAACTCAGATCATTTTTCTCTGGTACCATGGCTGTCCTGCCCACCATGCCTTCCCCAGTGCCTAGGACAATGTCAGACACATGGTCTGCGCTCCTTAGCTGTCGCATAGATTCATGGTCTCTGAAGGGAGCCCTGCTCCGGAGCGCTCTCCCTTTTTCCCAGCTCATCCCCAGCTCTGTCTTCCCCAGCAACCCTGTTGCTGCCCCCTTGGCTGGTGTCACCACTGGGCCTCCGTCTCTCCCTTGGTCTGCTGGGGCAGTCTGTTACCCCACGGCCAAGGGCTTTCTGTAGGCCTTCCAGGGGCCATTAACCCTTTGCCCGGGGAGCCCTCTTAGCATGATTAGATTATCCTCACAGACCACAGGAGAACTGAATTGTGGAAATACTGGCCAGCCTGCGAGATTTCTGTCCTTCACATTTTCCCCGTGTTCAAAGGATGTCGAGTGTGTCATTAGGAACCCTGGCTGCCTCCCCTATGAATACAGGCACAGAAAGGTTGCCTGTCAAGTCGGAGCGTTTCCAGACAGCGCCGTTCCACCCTCATGATCAGGCGTGCTGGGGACAAAGGGAGACTTCAGGTTTTAGATGCCTGTCTTTCTGTCAACTGAATGAGTGGACAGCATCGGGAGCCCGACCTGCACGAGACTCAGCTTCCCAGAGCCCACCAGAAAACAAGCCCAACTTCTAGCACTGGCAATGGGAAGTCTAACCAGGGGTATCCAGCCTGTGGGCCACAGGCGGCCCGGGATGGCTGCGAATGACCCAGCACAAAATCGTAAATTTACTTAAGACGTTGTGGGATTTTTTTGTGATTATATGTCACAATGTATTTAATTGTGTGGCCTGAGACAACTCTTCCAATGTGGAGCAGAGGTGCCTGCGAACCATTGTAGCCCTGAAGCAAATAGGAAGTAACACTCTTCATCCACCCTGGGTGCTCTGAAAGGTAAAGTTGTTGGAACAGAGCATTCGTGGTCTTCCATGGAAAGCCACTCTAAGAACGTCCATGGAATGGTAATTTAATGACTTTCTTTCCGTTGGCTCTTTTAGGGAGGGACGTTGCTTGGGCCCCCAGACTCTGTGGTTGATGTGGGGAACACAGAAGTCACAGAAGAAATCTTTCTGGAGTACCTGTCCTCCCTGGGGGAGTCCCAGTTCCGGTGAGTGGGCACTGGCGGCGGTGAGTCGTGTCCGTCTCCCCTACTAGGTAATCAGCCCCCAGAGGGCGGCCACCCGGTCATAGCCCCCAGGGCACTCGGCACAAGCTCTGGGCCAGCATTTGCTGCATAAATATGAAGAGAAGGCATTGTTGTCCCGCAGAAGAGCTCGGCATTGCTCGGAGGCCGACGTTCCGTCCCAGCAAACCTTCTGCTGAAACTTTGAGGGAAGGATGGACTATCAATTCTTTCTGATTAAAATCAGATGCTGCTATTTTAGCAAACACTGCTCTCCACCTACACTTGCCAAGTATTTTGTCCTGAATATCAAAAACAGGGTTTGGCCCTGGCTGGTGTAGCTCAGTGGATTGAGCATGAGCTGCGAACCAAAGGATCGCAGTTCGATTCCCAGTCAGGGCACATGCCTGGGTTGCAGGCCAGTTCCCAGCAGAGGACACATGAGAGGCAACCATACACTGATGTTTCTCTCCCTCTCTTTCTCCCTCCTTTGCCCTCTCTCTAAACTAAATAAATAAAATCTTTAAAAAACAAAACAGTGTTTGTAGAGGGTAAAATCCAAACCGAGCAGATTTTTCTCTTAAAGGAGCTTTGCTCTATAAGTGCTAAACTCGACCCTAGGGCTCTGCTTTTATGAATGTAACGATTCTCCTGAAATTGTGGAGGAGCCTCATTTATATTTTATCCTTCCCTTTGAAGTCTGTTTTCAATGGTCCAGGGAGGCAAGTCGAGCAGTCCTTTGGAGAGAAGGGAAATCACAGCCCTCAGGCTCACCCTTCCATCACCTGGTGTGACTTATTTCATACTCTCGCTGGCTGGCTGTCTCATGTCTGTTCTCCAAACCTTTCTCACAATGCACAGAGGCGAAGCCTACAACCTCTTTGAACACAACTGTAACACCTTCAGCAACGAAGTGGCCCAGTTCCTGACTGGGCGGAAGATCCCTTCTTATATCACTGACCTTCCCTCTGAAGTTCTCTCCACGTAAGTAGCTCCTGTCTCTCCCCTGCGTTTGAAGTCCCCCCCCCCCCAGCCAGTGCCACCCCTCTGCCCACATCCGCCCTCCCCTGGTGTCAGCAGGCTCGCCCTAAGCAGGGTGGGCCCTGTCATGAAGGCAGCTTCCAACGTGGAAGGCCACTCTTTCCTCGGCGATGCTCACCTGTGTTACTTCACCCTCCTCAGAGCTGACCCCTCCCCCGGGCCTGAGTGCGGTCTTTCCCATTGCACATGAAGCATGCCACTCCCCAGAAGTGCCTGCTTAAAACGCAGGGTTTTTAGCCCTGGCCAGGCGGCTCATTCGGTTAGAGTGTCATCCTAAGATGCCAGGGGTGAGGGTTTGATTTGAGGTCAGGGCACACACAACCCATGAGTGCATAAGCAAGTGGAACAACAAATCCGTGTTCTCTCCCTCTGTCTCTTTCCCTCCCCAACCCAACACACCTCTCTCTAAAATCAACAAATAAAAAAAAAAATAAAAGGACACACCCACCCAAAGCCATCACACCCCTCCCAGCCTTGGCTGTTGACCGTGTTCGGGCAGCCTCTGCCCACTCCAGGACCGTGTCCGCTTGCCGGCTCTGACTCAGTTTCTCCTGAGCTGTGGCCCTGTCCAACAGGGGTGCCGGCAGGTTCAGCAAGCCCAGCCAGGTGAGCTGTTTCCACCCTGAGTAGGAGCCCCCAGGAAAAACTCACACAGGAAAGGAGGCTCTGGTGTCAAGTTGGTGAGGAGAGCCCCGCCTCCCAGCCCTGGCCCTGCCTGCCTTAGTGGGTGTGTTAAACCCCACCACCTAGCTAAAGGATCTAGGTTATGGGGCCAGAGCAAACTTTAGTAGCTGGAATGTTCTTGCTGTTATTATTTGATGGGTGGAGTCCCTGAGCTTGTCTGAATTAAGGTTACTATTTCTCAGTTTCATCTGTTTATGTTTTCGTGAATATTTCATTCCCTCGAGCTTGGGGACAATTTTCAAAAATGGCAGTACCCACCAACGGAAACAAACCCCAGTGACCAGGATGTGTGTGGACAGCCTGTTTCAAGGCCGAAGCAATCTCGGAGCGTCTCTGAGACGCAGGACGGCGTTGCTTCCAGCTGAGCGCCTCTGAACGCGCAGGGAGCCCTTGGCAAAGCGCGTCCTCCCGACGGCCTGCGTCTGTCGCTTTTCCCACCTCTCCCCTGTTTCCCTAGCAGACCGCAGTTCCTGGAGGAATTTCAGTCCTGACTTTACCTTTTTCGTGTCCTTTTCATTTTGTTAAACTCAGCTTCCTCATTAAACTTTATTTTTATCTTCTTGTACCATGAGAATTCGAGATGCAAGTACAGAAAGTACAGGAACCTCTAATTCCTGTGTGTAGTCAGCCTGTGCAAGCCACAGCTAACAGGGATCTAGAAGCAAAGGGAGTGAGTAGTAGCATCTCTGAGGAGGGGACTCCAGGAGTCAAAATGCGGAGCAGGCTATTTAGAGATCCCCCAACCGTGAAAAACCACGTGGCAGTAGGTGAGAAAATGGAATGGGCAGCTGAGCCTGTCCCGGTGTGGTGGTGCCGGCTGCGGCAGCCTGTGCCCCGGGGCCCGCCGCAGCTCCTGTGTCTGTTTTCCCCGCAGCCCCTTCGGACAGGCCCTGCGGCCCCTCCTGGACTCCATCCAGATCCAGCCTCCCGGGGGGAGCACCGTGGGCCGACCCAATGGCCAGAGCTAACAGGACCGCATGGACCGCCCTGTCTCGACAGGGCTTTTTCTTTTTAAACAAAACAAACCCTACCAGATTTCTATTTTATAATTTTACATCAGAGCTAACAACCAGGGGACAGCTTTTTAAACTTCCCAGGGAAGGAGATCATCAGGCCGCGCGTAGGACAATGCTGCTAAGAAACAACAAAACGCCATCCCTTCTAATAGTATTATACTAATTTATTAAGGCTGCCTTGTCTGTGAGTTCACTTGTGACCCTGCTTCCTAAGCGTCCTCCACGCTCGAGAAAGGGAGTGGGTTTGTTAATGCAGAAAGTGGAATCACAGTTTGGGGGAGCTCCAACCTAGAACCTCTTTCCAGGGAACGCCCGTGCTCTACCCAGGTGAGTGTTACAACAGCCATGACCCGGAAGCAGTTGTTCTCTAGTGCTAAACGAACCAAAGGAGCTGGTGCACATGGAACCCGTCTGAGGATGACTCACCCGACCTAAGTGAACTTGTTAGCCGCAACGTATATCATCTTCCCTCCTGTACCCCGGGAAGGCCACGGGGCCAGAGCTGGAACAGCCAGAACCACAAATTGAGGAAGAGTGACAGCCAGTGTCAGGTGGAGAACACAGGACAAAGCCACTCCTCCTCCCTCCTAGACTGATTACCAACCCTCTGACCTCAATCCTGGAGAACCTGCCTTGCTGCCCACAGGCTCCTCCTCTTCCTCAGCAGAGCTGACCTGTCGTAATTACTGAAGGTCTGGGCTGGAGCAGCAGAGAGCCGGCACTTTGTCTGCAAGTAGGAACGCAGGTCTTGTGCGGTCACTGGACCCACCCCTCAGACCAGCATGCAGCCTGCGGCTGGGGGCCGAGGGGAAATGACTCCCTGCTCCAGGAGGAGATTCCTGATGTAGAAAGAACAATAATGAGCAATCAAGGTGGCAAGAAAACTCAGTTGCTGTTGGTAGGAATTTTTACATTATCCTAAATGTGCTGTGAAGACACGTGCTATTTCCGTTGTCATTCTGACTCGAAGGATGCATGGTGTGCGTGGGCATTTTCCTTTCAAGCTGCTGTTAAGAGCTTACAGGCAGGGAACAATCTGGAAGTTTCTTATCTGGAGTGGCTTTCAGATTCCTTTTCTTCACTTGAGTCTCCCCTTAAGTTAGCTTTTGGGGAAGTGAGGTGGGGAGAGGACTCAGAGCTGCCAGGTACCTGCGTCCCCACTCTGACATTCTTGGGCCCCTCCTGCCACTTCTCAGACTTGAATTACATTGTCTTTCCTGGAGTTTGGCCTGCAGCAGGTGCCTTTTCTCTCCAAAAAGCTGCTGCTCACCCCGGCCGCCTCCCCTCCCATCTGCACTGTCAGCTGCAACAGTTTGCGTCGCCAGGGTCTCAGCCAGAGGAGGACATGTGCCTCTGCCTTAGTGCTTGCCTGTGACCTGACCAGGGGCACGTGTGTGATGACCAGCTGTGATGTAACATTTTGGCACTTTTCAGATTGGAGGCCAAACCAATGAGCAGTTTAATTCTAATCAGGACCCACTGATTTGCTGGCTTGCTACATTAGAGCAGAAACTGGCAGGGAACCCTATTTAATGTTGACCAACTGGCAGAATGGACTATGGAGAATGGGTTTCAGGCTGGGTGTGTCCCAGGAAGGCAGTACATTGGTCCCTGCCTTTTCCAGCTTGCCTTGCCCAGGTCTCCCTCTCTGCAGGCTCTTGCTCCAAACCTCTCTGCACAGAGCTCTAGCCAGAGGGTGGGGTGCGCCCCTCCCAACGGTCACCCCCGGACCCAGGGCAGTACTGAGAAATGGCTTCACTAAGAGACTTTGAGTCACTTGGTTCATCGACGGTCCCTCTCATGTCCAACATCCATTGTGCCAACGCCTGTGCTCCAGGGGGAAACGGGTGAGTAAACTGGCTTCTAAGAGCCCTGCAGGAAAGCGAGCTCTGCCCCACCGCGCCACCCAAGTCCCAGCAGCACTGACTGGAAGCCCAGACGGGCTCAGCGCCCCCCCCCCCAACCCATCTTTGTATTTCTCTATCTCCCAGCACCTCAGGAGTGCATCCACTGTGCCCAGCTAGCCTCACATGGGCGTGGGGAGCAGAGCGAGCCATGTGTTTCGCTGTAGCGCACAGCGGACACTCCGTAGAGGTCCACTGGTTTAAAGGAACGGGGGGGAAGCGGGATAAGACCAGCACCCCTCCCAGAAATAAAGCCTGTACCTGTGAGAGTCTTTTTTGCCCTTGAAGTCAAACTAATAACTGTTTAGTATGGAGGTGTTTGCTGGTTTTCTTCGATGTTTTTTCTAATGCAATAAACACTTTTGCCTGCTGCTTTTGTGTCATGTTTGAAGTTCTGGGTGTGCGCCCAACATGAAGCCCTGGCCAGCTCTTGATCTGTTTGTCTCTGAGCTTGGCTTTGCTGAGTCTGGATATGCAGCCTCACAGATAAGAAGTGGAGACAGCAGCAAAGAGTAGGTGACTTTCACCGTTGGTTTGTAAAGATGGAGACAGGCCCCAGAGAGAACACTACTTGCCCAAGGTCACCTCACAGCTGCTGGCTGAGTAAGACTCAAAAGCCTGGTCTGCTGGCCCCAACATCAGTGAGGACCTCGGCCACCGGGATGTCTGACCTCACCAAAAAGTATTCACTTCTGGTTTCAGTTCGGCCCCAGGGATCTCTCCCCACCATGTTACTATAACTCTGCCAAACAAGTATTGGGGTGAATAAATGCCCCCTGCTACAACCAGACACCCCAGCTTGACTGCGGGTATCTGCAGGTTTAGTCACCCCCCTTTGAGTGAGCCTGGACTGTGCTGCGTGTTTTCACAGTGGATTGGAGAAGTGGGCACTGGTCCCATTCCCAGACGGGAAACAGTTGTCCAGGCGACAGGAGGCCACGCCCCTGAACTGAGGTCATGTTCTCACCACCACCCCACTGAAGCACCGTGTCTGTCCAGTGTGCTAGTTTAAGAATAAAACGAGGCTCTGTCTTCGGAGGATACGGGGCAGGTGGCTTTGATTGATATATTTGCTCCCCAAGAGCTGATATGTGCCGAGGCGCGAGTCAGAAGTGCCCGCCCTGATCCTTCCTGGGCTTAAGTCCTAACTTTGCCACTTCTGAGCCCGTCTGTCTCATAAGATGGGGCATTTGAGTGGGCCTTTCTCACCAGCAGTTTTGAAGAGAGTCACTATGAAGCGCTCTGCCCAGCGCCTGGCACAGATTAGGTGCTCAGTGAGTATCAGACTGTGGGAAGAATGTGTTCACCTGCCACTGACAGGGTTCTGTGAGCCAGCCGCACGCAGAGGGCCCGGCCAATCCTCTCTCCTGAGGGCAGTTTTTAAGACGAGGTACTGTAGACATGCACTGCCTGCTTCTGGGGAAATGGCAGAAAATACGCTTCACCCTTACATTTGGCAAGTCTGCATGGAGTACATTCAACCCCGCACACATTTCCCGGGAGCACACTGTGTGTGAAGCGGTGCTGGCCCCTGTGCCAGGGGTACAGAGACAAGGCCCTGCTGGGCAGGGGTTATTTCTGAGAAGGCTGGGAGACAAGAGTATACCCTGGGTCATCTCAGGTGGTGGTAATGCTCAGGAAGAAATAAAACCAGGTGGCAGCATAGTGTGGGAGTGGGGAATATGCGGAAGGGGTTGAGGAAGCCTTGTGTGGCAAAGTGGTATCTAATCTGAGATGTAACAAAGCCCAGATCTGAGGAAAGAGCATTCCAGGCACAGGGAGCAGCAAGTGAAAAGGACATTGGAGGCACTAGGGGAGGCCAGAGTGGCTGGAACACCAGAGCCATGGGGAATGGAGTCGGGGAGTGAGGCTGGAGAGGCACACAGGCCAGACGGTGCAGGGCCTTGTAGCATGATCAGTTGCGATACTGAGAACGCACTGAGGCGGGGGGCCAGTAGGGGCCTCAGAGAACCAGGGCGGGGTGCTGCTGTTGTCAGGCAGCGGGTGAGGTGTACTGTGTGTTGCTATGTGCCTGGAGCTATGAAGAAGCCTTGGAAATCGGTTTGGTTCCTGCCCCCCAGGAGGAACAGAAGACAACAGAAACATGTGAAGGCAAGAGCTACAGGGAGCCCTGACAGGTGTGGCTCAGTGGGTTGGGCATCGTCCCCCAAACCAAAGGGTCCCTGTTCGGTTCCTGGTAGGGGCACATGCCTGGGTTACAGGCCAGGTCCCCAGTTGGGGATGTGTGGAGGGCAATTGACTGGTGTTTCTCTTGTACATCGATGTTTCTCTCCCTCTCTTTCTCCCTTTCCCTCTCTCTAAAAACATATACAATCTTTAAGAAAAAGGGCTACAGAGTCCACAGAGCCGCTGTCAGCCACTGCCCTGCTTCCACAAGCATTTGCTGGGACGCTCCAACTCTGATTTGGGGTGCGCTCAGATTTCTTAATTTGTTTCTTCCAAAATGAAAATAAGTTTTTGGTTATGTAAGTATGAAGATTTTATATATATTCGGAAAATATAAGCAACCAACACAGAGGTGAGAGGGAAAGTCACCCCAAATCCCATCATCCTGGGAGAGCATCTTGTGAACATCTTTACAGACCTTCCAGTGGGTTTGAAGTCGCACACATGGCAGACAAGCTGTTTGATACCTGGCTTTGTCTTCTCGACATGTAGCAAGGCTCCAGTAAGGTAAGAGTAGGCTGCTCATCACAGATGTGTGCGTGGAAGCAGGACGGCTGTGCAGGGTGAGATGGTGTGGGAGGAAGGTGTCTGCCCAGGCTGGACGGTTGCTCCGTGAGACCTATGTGTCCTTAGGCTCACTCACACTGGGGCTCTGGCCCGAGGGCAGGCAAAGACCCAGTAGGGGTCTGGTGTATTCCTGATGGTGAGCCCTTGGCCACGGAGCGTGATTGCTTTGGAAGAGGACTGGACCCCTCGTCTACAAGGCTGACCAGGAACCTGAAGCTCAGATTGATCAGGAGCCAGACCTCTGACCCACCCACCGTTTCCCCAGCAACATGATGCAGTGAGAGAGATGTACACCAGATGGCGCTGTGGAACCCACGCAGCCCGGCCCACCCCCAAAGTCGGGAGGCCTCCGGTACTGCAGATAACGGGAGTATGCTGTGCTCCCCACACACTTCTGTACTTCGTTGGCCCCCAAAGAGCCCATGGGGGAACACATTTGTCAAGGCCCTTCTCTAACTTGTCCCCGGACTTCAGTTCCCACACCCCGCTGTAAGAGCGGATTCCTATCACTGCGATGGTTTCCATATCTGGATTCAATTTACTCTTTGCTGCACCAGACTTCCCACCCTTCCCAAACCATCTCCCCACCCCTCGGCGCCTATCCTTAGAGCACCCCTTTATCTGGTGCTAAAGGCCCAGCACCAGCACTGCCTCTGCAAAGCCTTCCTGACCCCTACCCACCCACGGCTCCTTCCCTCCTGTGGGTGCCTCCCCAAACACTCCTGCCAGCTGGGGCAGGGCCTGGCTGTGATCCCCTGGGCACCCAGCACCCAGCACAGGGCCTGGCACAGAGCTGCCATCATGGAGTGAATCAGTCCTCCAGTTCAGTCCTGGTAGGCCCACATTGAGGGGGAGGGGTGGGTCATAAAAAACCCTGGACCTGCATTTTGGTGGGCCTGGACTGAGCCTCTACCTCAGATACCTAGATTAAGGCTTTCCCTTCACTGGGCCTCAGTTTATTCTTCTGTTGAATGAAAACTGTGAATCAGATTGTCTCTAAGGTCCCTCTTAAAGGGACTTTTCTCCCTGCTCCTGATGTGAGAGGTGAGTGACTTGCCCAAGGTCTCACTGTCCTCAGGACTCAGGTCTGAGCCAGAGATCACTAACCCAGATGTCAAGAGGCTGTTGTCCCTGCTCTTCACCCCCAGGCGGGGCAGTGCTGGGGCCATCTCTGTCCCTACTGGCTTTGGCTGAGGGAGCCCCAAGGGAGCCCAAGGAGCCCCAAGAGGGCCTGTGCCAAGCCAGCAAGAGCTTCCATCCCTCCACAAGCCACCTCTACACATGCTCACTGCAGCTTAAGTGTAACGCACTTGTTTATTGTGAAAACAATGTAAGCTCTGCAGGCATTTTGGAAAATGAAGGAAAAACAGCCAACACACACAGTCTCCCCAACCACCCACTGCTCAGCACCAAGATGGAACTAAAGCCAGCAACAGTCTGCCCTGCTCTCTGCAGGTCCTCTAGGGACTAGTCTAAGCGCATCTCCTCCCCTGCACCCTCATCTCCTCACAGCCTGGACAGGCTGCAGTGGCAGCCCCATTTAGCAATGAGGAACAGGCTCAGAGGGTGGGAGGGACCTGCCCAAGGTCACCTGGCTGGGAGGGGCAGCCCCAGGAATGATCGGCTGACTGTATACCCACTACACCTGTGCTGCCCTGTTGGGCTGGGATGACCCACCTTCAGAGGGTCACACTTGAGCTAGGGGAAAAGAGGGTCAACGACGCTGTATTTGTTCAGTAACATGCTGACACCTGGCTTTCCACCAAGGGGCCAGGGAAACGCATGGGTTTAGGGGACTGGAACTGAACGTGAATCCTGACTGTTCTGTGTGACCCAGGAAAGCCACTTCACCTCTCTGGTGTCCGTAACTATATCTGGAAATTAAGTATAAGGGTACTCACCTCAGAGGATTCTGGCAAAAGTCAGTGAAACGCCCAAAGTATGAGCTCTATCTACAGTTGCCCAAAGCAAACATGGAAGTCACTAACCTTCAAACCTTAGCCAACTGCCTGGCCCAGGCTTCCTTCCTGAGCAGGATCCTACTCGAATGGGGTCCTGGGCCCCCCGCCTTCAAGCCCGGCTTCCTTTGGTGCTCTGGAAACACACTCCTGGCCAGGCGTCTCAGTCCCAGTTCCCTCAGCCCTGCTCTTCGCTCTCCCTGGGGCCTCCCCCAGGCCACACCTGAACACCAGTTGCTAGGGATGAGTCTCCCTCTTAAAGGGACATACTGGTGGCCACAAGGGCCACCCCATCTGATTTTCCTGGGTTTGTGTCTCAGGGCAGTTCACTCCCCTCTCTGGGTTTCAGTGTCTACCTCACTGAAATGGTTGTAGTGAGAGATTAGAGAGAGACCGTGAAAGGTATTTGTGAAGAAACTGGGTCACTACAGGTCTAAAGCATAAGTGCGCTATTATTGGGAGCTTATCGTTGCTTGTCTCTGAAAAGGTGGACCCGAAGTGTGGGAGACAAACATTTGTCCTGCCCCGCGGGCCCCATCCTACAGCTTCCGGATTCCAGTATGGGGTGGAGCCCAGGCATTTGCATTTAACCAACTCCTTAGGAATTCTTCTGCGATGGAATAGGTGTCAGCTGTGAGATTTTAGAGACTAATCTGGCCAGTTGTAGCTCCACCCACAGGTGGGCCCTGGGAAAGGGTTTTAGGGTCGCCAGTGGCCTGAGTCTCAGAGACCAGATCCAGCTGGAGCAGGAGGTGCAAGGAGAAGAGTTCGTCTTCTCTCTCATGGAGATGGTTCTTCTGTTTTCTGTCGGCATCCAACAGACAACAAAAGCTTCTTGTTTTCCTACAGTGTTCCCTGGACTCCCAGCAATGTCTGCCACGATACGCTTGTCTCACGAATGAACCGAATTTTGCTGCGGGGCCTGGAAAAAAAAGATTTTTCCTTTTGCCTCTTGACTCCTGTATGGCTCCTCAGAATGATTATTGATCCTGTGTTTTAAATTTTTTTATGGTTACAAAATTTTTTAAATTATTTATTTATTTATTTATTTATTTTTAGAGAGAGGGGAAGGAAGGGAGTAAGAGAGGGAGAGTAACATCAATGTGTGGTTGCCTCTTGCATGCCCCCTCCCAGGGACCTGGCCCGCAACCCAGGCATGTGCCCTGACTGGGAATCAAACCAGCAACCCTTTGGTTCTCAGGCCAGCATTCAGTCTACTGAGCCTCACCAGCCAGGGCCTGTCTTTTCAATTTTTTGACATTTGTACATCACAAAATTTTTTAAAGATTTTATTTATTTATTTATTTATTTTCAGAGACAGGGGAAGGGAGGGAGAAAGAGAGGGAGAAACATTGATGCGAGAGAGAAATATCAATCGATTGGTTGTCTCTCCTACGCACCTTGGCCAGGGGTGAAACCTGCAACCCAGGCACGTACCCTGACCGGGCCTGGAACTGGAGACCTTTTGATGGTGGAACTCCAGACACAGGAAATTTTAGTTCTAGGTAATAGTCAATAAGCTTAGTAATTCATGCATAGAAAAAGCTATTGTTCTTCCAGGAACTGAAGGTATGACCCTCCTTGACTCCACGAGACCATAAACAGTTCCACCTTTGTGCCTCAGGAGGACTGCAAGAGGTCAAGATGGTATCTGAGCCATTGTGCTCCAAGGCAAGGACTACCAGCTTCCGACCACTACCCAGGACACAGATGAAAGAATGACGCAGCTTTTTATCTGATTAATTTTTTTCCCTGAATTCCAATCCCCTTACCTATACTTTTCTTCTCCTTATAAAAAGGGTCAGTTTAAAATGGAACATAAGACAGTCTGTTAGGGCACACAAACTGCTGTCTTCCGAGATCGCCAGCCATCTGAATAAAGCACCCATAAAGATTCAACCCCTGTCTCTGCTTATTGATTTTGGCAGTGACAGGCAGTGGCTTTTTCTGGCTCCACTTCTGCTTTGCCGGAGGACCCTCAACCTGCTGAGCCACACTGGTCAGCGCTCATCACCAATTTTCTTGCATTGATTTTGATTTTAAAAAACATTACATTAACCCTGGCTGCCGTGGCTCAGTGGATTAAGTGCCGATCTGCCAACCAAAGGGTCACAGGTTGAATTTCCAGTCTAGGGCACATGCTTGGGTTGCAGGCCAGGTTCCCTGGTTAGAGAGGCAACCACACACTGATGTTTCTCTTCCTCCCTCCCTTCCCCTCTCTAAAATAAATAAATAAAATCTAAAAACAAAACAAAAACAAAAAAAGCATATTACATTAAAACATTATCTTGATTACTGAGTTTATTTTTGTGCCCGCTTAAATTTTGTGCATGAGGCCTGGTCTCAGCCCTGCCAGCCTGGAGGTGCTCTGTGCAGCCTCGGGCTCACGCCCTTCCTTTTTCTTCATCAAGTGGAGACAAGAATACCTTCTGGAGCTGCTGTGAGCGTACAAGAAGATGTGTGGTCAAGTGTCCACTATGATGACTGGCACACGATCAGGGATTGACAAGCAACAGTTTTTACTATCTCACCTTCTATAGTCCTAACAGGTGGGAATTATGTCCCCATTATATAGATGAAGAAACAGGCCAAGTGAGGGAAGGTGATCTGTTCAACCTTTGTTGTTAGAAGGGATCAAACTGCAGTTTCCTGGACTCTGACACCAGTGGTCTCCTCGGGGCAGCTACCAACACAGAAAAGCAAACAGGCCATCAAAAACATGGTGCACAGTGGTGCCTGCCACTCATAGGTGTGTGGGTGAGTGTGTCAACTACATGACCTGAGTTGATCACTGGAATCAGGGCTGAGGATGGCAAGTGCAGCAAAGATCCCTTCCCAGGTACAGCCTCAAGCTGAAGGGCCCCTGGGACAACAGAGGGATGTGGAGGCAGGCCTTTGGCTCTGGAGTGTGGGAGAAGGGAAAAACAGAGAGCCCTGGAGGATAGGAAGCTGCAGTCAACACATTTCCAAGGAGGGAAATATCTTTGAATTTCATGCTACTTTGAATTCCCAGCAACAGCCTGCTACTTTTCAATATCAAAAATGGGATCACACAACAATTAAAATAAATAAAATATATTTAGAAAACAGAATCATAATTTTTCCATATTAAATATTCTACAACACAGCCCTGGCTGGTGTGGTCAGTGAATTGAGCACAGGCCTGCGAAGCAAAGGGTTGCTTGTTTGATTCCCAGTCACAGCACATGCCTGGGTTTCCTGCCAGGTCCCCAGTAGAGGGCCCGAGAGAGGCAACCATACATTGATGTTTCTCTCCCTCCTTTCTCCTCTCTCTAAAAATAAATAAATAAATATTCTACAACACAGATTTTTATGACTTCATCTTATAGATGATTCATAATTAATTTCACGAATCCCCTCCCCTTTTTTCCTTTTATTTTCTAGAGGTTGAACTGCTGGCTCAAAACGTTTGCACATTTTTAAGACTTTGACAGGCAATGGCTGTTTAATCCATAACAGTATCAAGCACATCTATACAAAATCTCCTTTGGCCTGAGCCTGCTATGTGACAGGAGTTTTGCGGGGTCTTTTACACAAATTTTTCTTTTTTTAATGTGCACAGCAACCCTACAATGTAGGTGTTCTTCCCATTCTTCAAATAGAAATACAAAGCTTCAGAGAAGGGAAATGACTTGCTGGAAGTCACATAGTAGTGGAGCTGGGAAAACAACCTAGAACTGACCCCAGGGTCAACGCGATGATTAAATAGTTGTGAAAGAGCGATCCAGGAAGGCTTCTTGAAGAGGGTGGGCCATGCGCTGAGCCTTATGGGGTGGACAGAATGACAGCAGGAGAAGAGAGGGGAAAACCATCTGGCAAAGTCCAGAGCCTGAACAAAGACCATCAGATTTCAACCTCAGGATTTTTAGGGCAAAGGCATTAGCCGGCAGGGACGAGTCACAGAGTGATTTAAGGCGGGCACGGAGAGTTGGGACAGTCCAGCCCTCGCCCCGCCTCGTGGGGCCCTGCACTGCAGACTCGAGACCCCGCCCCGGTCCAGCCCCTCCACCTCCAGAAGCAATCAGTATCATCCATCTACGGCCCAGCTGTGGCACGACCCTCTTTTCCGGGTTCTACCTCTCCCCTCCGAGCCCAGGCCCCGCCTCCTCATGGGTTGGAACAATCCATCTGTGCCGGGTTCTGCCCCGCCCCATTTCCCCGTCCCTTCTCCGCCCTATGCAACCAAAATCATCCTGTCGAGTTAGCTCAGGCCGGGCCCCCACCTCCCGCCGAGACCACGCCCCAGACACGCCCTTTAGAGATTGGCGCAACCGGGTCAGCCCGCCGATCCCGCCCCTCCCAGCCCCGCCCTATCTTGCCTCTCTGCCGCGCGGCCTCGGGAGCCACATCCCACGACTCTGCCGGGCGCGCGGAGCTGCAGCCATGGCTGTGACCACTGAGGGCGCCCGCAGGAAGGAGCGCGTGCTCTGCCTGTTTGACGTGGACGGAACCCTCACGCCAGCTCGCCAGGTAGGGACCCGACCTTCTGAAGCTCGGGTCGGGAATGTCACGCAGTTACCCGGAGGCCGTATGTGGGGCCTGCAGCGGAGTGACCCGGACCTCAGAGGCCGAGTGTGGGATTCAGCCGTGCTCGGTCCCCGACACCCTTGATCGCCGCTAGGAATGACGGACACCCGATCCCTCACGTCACAACCCCCGAGCGTCCGGGCTGGGTCGATTCTGGAGGGAGGAGGCTGCGAGGGAGGGTCTAGCTTCCCTCCCTAACCCTCTGCCAGCCTTCCCCATGCCAACGTTTGGCTCTCGAAGACCCCCGTATCCCTAGCCGGGGCTCTCCTCAGTTCAGTCCTAGGATGCACCGGTAGCCGGAAGCTGGCGTCTGAACTCGGGTTTCAGATGGGACTTGGAGCACACCCAAGTGTCAAATTCGCCATCTGGTGGGGGGGTAAGGGGATTTCAGAACCATCTATTCCAACCTTTGCAGGCCTGGGCCTGGATCTACTTTCTCAAACCCCTCTCCCACTTTCCATCCCAGCCGTGGAGGGAAGGAGGGAGAGATTTCTATGCCTTTTCGGTTGACTATGGGCCCTGCCCACCTGGAGGTGAGAGTTCTCAGGACTAACCTGGTCACACGGAGGATATTGTGGTACTGGTTAGCTGGGAGTGCAGTGCTTCTAAAGACATCCCACCCTGTGGGTCCTCCGCCCTCTGCTGCACACACTGTTTTTCTCCCTTTGGACTTCACCCCGGATGAGCCGCGAGATCCCTCCTCACTAGCTGGCTGCTTGGATAAACAGGCCTCTTTCTCACCTGCCCTGCATGTACTCCGCCCTCTAGTCTGGGGCCACAAGGACCAGCTGAGGGATCTCCTAGAGTCGGGAGCCAGTAGGGCTGGGTTACAGGGCAGGGGCTGATGGAAACAGGTCTTGGTGTCCACTCTTAGGTCCTGCATGCCCCATCCTCTTCCCTGTGGGAAGGCTCTGGATTGGGCCCTGGGACACATGGAGGAATCAGGCCTTCCTGCCCTCCGTCAGCTCCCCAGTCCTCTGGGATGGGAGAGAGATGACAGGGGAGGGAGAGTGTCAGTGTCTAAAAACAGCCCCTTTCCTCTGACTCTGCTTCTCTGGCCCAACAGCCTGTAGGAGAATGGTGTTAATACTGCCCGCCAGTGTCATTGCCAGGCCCTGTCCTTAGTGCTTTCTGAAAGTTAATTTTTTTAAGATTTTGTTTATTTATTCTTAGAAAGAGGAGAAGGGAGGGAGAAAAAGAGGGAGAGAAACATCAATGTGTAAGAGAAACATCAATCAGTCACCCCTCGAGTCCCCAACCGGGGACCGCAATCCAAGCATGTGCCCTTACTGGGAATCAAACCTGCGACCCTTGGTCCATACCAGCCAGGGAAAAAGTTAATTTTTAATTATACAGGTATAATTTATGAATATTTGTCTAATTAAAAATGCATTCTCTTGAAATAAATGAAAACAACAGAGAGGGCTAATTCTCCACGTACTGTGTCAGGACCCAGTCCCCTCCCCAGGGCGTCCCGGCTGCCTGTTGTGTGGCTTCCTCCCAGGCTTTTATCTGGGTCTCTGTTTGCCCAGAGGAAACATTAAGCATTGTTTTATGAGGCTTCTTAAAAAATAAGTGGTATCGTACATCATACTGTGTGTGTCTTCCTGCAACTTGTTTTTGACAATTAGCCTGTCTGAGGACTCTCCCATGTGGGAAGTACAGGCCTGACTTACCCTGTGTAACCGCAGTGTAATATGTCAGAGCTGGTGTGTGCCATTTTGTGAATGATGGGCACGTAAGTCGCTTGAAGTTTTCCACTGTTGTAAACCCCTGCGAACCTCTATACCCGCCTGGGCAAGAGGAGCGGAAATGCTGGGTGACGGGACATGTGCATTATAAGTTTTAGTAAATTTTGCCAAATTACCCTCCAGAATGGCTAGTTTGCACTCTCACCAGCCATATTGAGTGTGCCTGTCCCCCCCACCCCCTGTATCATTGTCCACACTTGATATTGTCAGCTTTGAATATCTGAGTGTTTGAAAACATGGATTATAATTCATTAGTTTACATTTCCTGGGTGGGGAATCTTTTCACGTAATCAATCGGTCACCAGTTAATTGGTCATTTCTAAACACTTCCTAGCAGGTGTTGCTACTGTGACCCCCATTTGATTGATTGGACTAACAAGGCAAAGAAAGGCAAAGCCATTTGCTCAAAGGTCATCCTGCTACTGAGGGACTTGAGCCAGAGTTTGAACCCAGGTGCATCTGATTTTGGTTGTTGGGTTTTTTTTAAGATTTTATTTGTTTACTTTTAGAGAGAGGGGAAGGGAGGGAGAAAGAGAAAGAGAGAAACATCAACATGTGGTTTCTTACATGACCCCTACTTGGGACCTGGCCCGCAACCCAGGTATGTACTATGACTGGGAATCGAACCAGCAACCCTTTGGATTGCAGGTCGGTGTTCAATCCACCGAGCCACACCAGCTGGGGCCCAAGTGCATCTGATTTTTTTAAGATCTGTGTTCTAAACCTTGAACTGCCTCAGATCCAGGTGGAACATGGGCTCCCTGGATTCTGAGCGCAGAGTGAGGGCTGAGCGGAGGCCCCAGACGTGCTGACAGCCAGCATCCTTTGCTTCTCTACCCGTCGCAGAAAATTGACCCCGAGGTGGCTGCCTTCCTGCAGAAGCTGCGAAGCAGGGTGCAGATCGGTGTGGTGGGCGGCTCCGATTACTCTAAGATTGCTGAGCAGCTGGGAGAGGGGGACGAAGGTAGGAGGAGCTGGCCAGGGCCAGCTCAGCAGTTGGGTTGGGTTGGGGGCGGGAGCGGGAGTTGGGGAGATCCCTGGATCAACATGCCTTCAAAGACCCAGCCCTGTTTCTGTGCGGCAAAGGAGGTAGAAGAAATGGCCAGATGTTTCCTCACTGGTTCAGCAACCACTTAGTGAGCACCTATCATGTGCCAGGCACTGTTTTTGGTTTAAAGATTTTATTTATTTATTTTTAGAGAGAGGAGAAGGAAGGAAGAGAGGGAGAGAAACATTGGTGAGAGAGATGTTGATCGATTGTCTCTTGCACACCCCCAACCGGGGACCTGGCTTGCAACCTGAGCATGTGCCCTGACTGGGAATCGAACCAGTGACCTTTTGGTTTGCAGTCCTGGGATCAATCCACTAAGCCACACCAGCCAGAACCAGGCATTGTTTTTTTAAAGAAACAGTAGGGAACAGAAGCAGAATCCTGCCCTGACATAGTTTACATTCTTAGTTCTCCCTGCTGAATTTCAATTTCCCCATCTTTAAAATAGGCATAACCAATTATGGCTACCATTTCTTCAAAACGACCATGTGTTAGCTTCCTTTCATTTAATCCTCACCACTGCGCTTCAGTGCGTACATGATTATCCATTTTATAGAGGAGGATTCTGAAGTCACCCAGGAAGTGTTTGGCCCCAGAACCCCTGTTCTCAGCCAGGTTCCTGATCTTAGTTCAGGCAGATACTCCAGCTCCTCAGACCAGAAACTTCCTGGAGTTTCCCTTTTCCCCACCTCCTTGTTCATCAGCCAGTCCAGAAATGTCTCCCTGTGTCCCCGTGTCTCCATCCCCACAGCCCCACCACTGATCGCCTCCCACCTGGAACGTGCGACAGCCTCTGGCTGCGTTCCCTGTGCCTCCCCACTCCTGCCCACTCCAGTCACTTCTCATCTCCTTGGCTCTGGACACCTGGTCTCACACTCTCTCTCTCTCTCCTGGCCTCTCCATGTCCCTGAAGTCATCGAGAAGTTTGACTATGTGTTTGCTGAGAACGGGACAGTGCAGTATAAGCATGGACGACTGCTCTCCAAGCAGGTCAGTGTCGCCCCAGGCCCTTAGCCGAGGGACGCTTTTCCACGGTGAGTGAAGCAGTCCATGGTGCCCTCTGTCCTGGGTGCGGGGAGGGGCACCATGCCTGCTCCACTCAGAGCCTCGTGTTCCATGCCCAGACCATCCAGAACCACCTCGGGGAGGAACTGCTGCAGGACTTGATCAACTTCTGCCTCCGCTACATGGCCCTGCTCAGACTGCCCAAGAAGCGGTGAGACCCTGCCCAGCCTGTGTCCAGCCCTTCCTCCCAGTTCGGGGCCTAAGGAGGAAAGGGCAGGCCTCTGGTGGGACCTGGAGATGCTCCAGCCCTGACTTACTGAGGGGGTATTCTTATCCCCTGTGCAGTCCAGATGGGGCTGGATTGAATTCAGGGCCTTGTCTCCTTCTCTCTGATTCCCACCCCATCACCACCAGTGGAACCTTCATCGAGTTTCGGAATGGCATGCTGAACATCTCACCCATCGGCCGGAGCTGCACCCTGGAAGAGCGAATCGAGTTCTCTGAACTGGACAAGGTGCCACCTTAGGCTGTAGGGCCTCAGTTACTCAACCTCTCTGAGCCTCAATTTTCTCATCAGTGAAATGGGTTGAGAGTGGGGTGTTCCGATAGAACCGATACCCTGGACACCTACCATGTGCCATGGCTATAGGCGTGTCTCCCTCCTCTGATGACCGACACCACCAACCACCTGCTTACGTAAACTCACACCTCGGGCACCCTCTACACCTCCCCACCCACACAGGGTCCAACAATCATCCCTGCTGATTCAGCCTCTGGAGTTGGTCTCAAATCTGTTCGCCTATGTCTCCCCCGGTGCCCCACTCCCCACACGTGGTAAAACCAGTCTACTCTCCAGCAGTTCCGCTGAGAACCTTGACAAGCACATCTGTCTCCTCTGCTCACAGCCCTCCATGGCCCTCTTGCCAACTGGACAATGTCTCAGCCTCCTCCTGTGGTGTCCTGAGGGTCTGTCTGCCTGGCTCAGGCCCACCTGTTCAGCTTACTCTGTGCATCTGTGCTTAGGACTTACCAAGGCCCTTTGTGTGCTGCCCCTGCCACACCTTGAATTGCATTTTGCTTGTCATCCTCACCCCCCCTTCCAGGGATGGAGTGAGTTCATCCATCCGAGCCTTTTCACGCTGGCCCGTCCCTGGCCTCTCTGACCTGAAGTCTGCTGTCCCCCATGGCTCTCCGGCCATGTCCCGTTTGTGATTGTAAGACAGCAGGCAGTCTCCCGCTCCAGGGCTGTGCCCTCAGACACGGCTTGTCCTTTCATCTCCCTCACACCTGCTCAGATGTCACCTTCTCAGTGGGGCCTTCCCCGAGCATGACATTTAACGTTGCGTCCCCCTGCACCTCCGACTCCTCTGTTTGATTTCTCCCCAAGCAGCCTTCGCCACCCACTCAACACTGGATCACCTGCTTTTTAAACCTTGGCTGATGTCTGGTCCCCCGCCAAAGCTGTAAGCTCCTTCAGGGCCAGGATTTCTGTGCTGTTCGCTGCCAAATCCCCGGGGCCCAGCCCATACCTGGCACATAGCAAGGGCTCAAGAAATAATTTTTGAATGAATGAAATAGGTGGTATTATCCCCATTTTATGAATGAGGAAACTGAGGTCCAGAGAGGGCAAGTGATTTGTTCAGGGTCACGTAGGAAATTGGTTGCAGAGCAAAGATTTGAACTTGAGACAGGTTTCCCTGAGGGTGGGTGGGAACTCAAGTGATGCACCTCCTAGCTCAGTGAACCCCACCCCCTCTCTGTCCAGAGGCTTGGGGTAGACAACGCCCTCCAGGCGGGGAGACTTTTCCTGTGGGAGTGGCGAAGACTCCCACACACGTGCCCCTTCTCAGGCCACCCCGGGTTCCAGTCCCAGCTCCACCTTCTGCTTGACGAATCAGTCACCTGGAAAATGACTTCACTACTGTATGCCTCTGTTTTCTCATCCTTTTTTTTTTTTTTTTTTTTTTTTTTTTTTTTTTTTTTTAAGATTTTACTTTTCAGAGAGAGGGAATGGGAGGGAGAGAAAAAAGAGAAACATTGATCGGTTTCTTCACACCCCCCAACCTGGGACCTGGCCCGAAACCCAGGCATATGCCCTGACCAGGAATCAAACTGGCGACCTAACAGTTCTCAGGCCGATGCTCAATCAACACCAGCCAGGGCGTGTTTTCTCATCTTTAAAGTGGGGGTGATCACAGTTCCCACCTTGTGGGGTATAATGAGGACTGGGCAGGATGGAGGTCTGCCAGCGTTCACTCTCCCCACAACCCCAAGGAAGGTCTCCTCTCGGCTCTTTGGCTGTTGTTCGCCTGCTCCTGGTGCTGCAGTGGGGCGTGTGCCACTGGGCCTCCTGCACGCCCTGCTGAGGCTGGACTTGGCACATGGGGCTGGTTCTCCAGAGACAGCAGGCACAGCCAGCCACCTGAAACCACTTAGGACCATTCCTCCGTACCAGTTAGGTGACTTGCCCGTGGTCACACAGCCAGGAAGCACAGTAGCTAGGCCTGGAACCTGGGTCGTGGCAGGCCTTCTAGCTCATGTCCTCCCCGGACCACTTCTAGGCTCCAAACCGCTGGCCATCACCTGTCTCCCTCTTCGTCCCAGTCCCACCCAAGGCTTTGACTGACAAAGGCACAGTACGAGGCACTCCACTCCTGTGCTCTCCGGTGGCTTTTGGTCCCCCAGAATGTGTCCTAACTCTCCAAACCAGGCCTCCAGGCTCCGTGTGAGCTGACCATCCTGCTAAGCTGCTTGGGCCACATGGGGACAGCCCACCCCCACCCTCTGCCACAGCCTGGGCCGAGGGAGCTGACCACTCCTGTGTGCTGGCTCCCCCTCCCCACTAGTACAGCTGCCCCTCCAGGCTCCGCATGGCTGTTCCCCTCTGTGGTCCCAGCCGGGCCAGGTTGGTGAGTGAAAGCCCCTGACTGCACGTTGTAGATATGCTGCCCCGGGGGCTGGGGGCTGGGGCTCCCTGGGCCCTGCTGGCTCCCCCCACCCAGGCCAGTCCACTGCACCCAGGGGCGCCCAGCCAATGAACGTTGCCTGATTGGTGCTCTGTTTGAGCCCGCCATCCTGCTGACCTCCCTCTGAGCGCCCACTGCTACTTATTAACAGGCCTTCGTGTGCTCTCTTCTTACACTCACGTCTGCTGTCTGAACCGTGGTTTGCTGTGTTGAGCTGGGCAGAGCCCTGCCCTGAGGTGGGCTCTATGACTTTGGGCTCAGGCTGCCCTTTCCCGTCAGCGTTGCTCCTTTAGCCTCTACTCCAGGGTGTCCTTCCGAACACTCCCCTGCATCCCCACTGGCAGGACGTGGCACTGAGTCCCGTCACTGACCTTCTGGGTTCGGGCCCTGGCTCTACCACTGAGGCTGGGTGACCTTGAACAGGTGCAGGCCCTCTCCGCTGGCTTCCCATAGGTCAGGAGGGGTCATGTGTCCACCTGGGGGACTTAGTGAGTTCTCAGGAGCTGTGTGCCCAGCACAGGGGTTGGCTCCCAGCAGCCTCTGAGCCCTGGTCTGCTTTCTTCCCTCCTGCAGAAGGAGAGGATCCGGGAGAAGTTTGTGGAAGCTCTGAAAACTGAGTTTGCTGGCAAAGGGCTGAGATTCTCCCGAGGTACGTGTCCACCCACTTGGGGCCTGAGGGGCAGGGCCGGCCCTGGAGCCTCGCTGCACTGCAACCCCCACTCCCCCCGCAGAACACAGGCAGGCTCAGGCCGAACAACCAGGGACTCCGTGTGTTACCACCTCCCGCTCCTCTGCACCTAAACCCAGTCAGCAGCCCCCCACCCAGTTGCTCAAGGCAAAAACGAACGTCTCCTTTGAGTTTTCTCCCTCACCCCTTCCCAAGTCCAGTCTGCTGACAAGTCCCGGAACCCTCTGTCTGGAATCCACCTGGAATCCGCCCACTGCCCACGCCTCCCCTACCAGCAGCCTCGGCCCGGCTCCATCTGGCTGCCTCCTCACCTTCCACCCATCCCCACAGTGGCCAGAGGGGTCCTTACGGAGGAACAGACCTGTTACACTCCTCGCCCTCACCTCTCTTGGGGACTGTACTTGCTCCCCAGCCACCACCGTGCCGGCTTACATCTCAGCTCAGTGTCACCTCCTCAGAGAAGTCTCCCCTACCATGCTGGCTGAGAACTCCCCGCCACCCCACTGACTCACCTGGATCAAAACTGCCACAAGGACCCCGAGTCTGTCTGTCCTGTGCCTGGGCCTCAGGAGGCTCTCAGGGAGGTCGAATGAAGTGACCAATGGAGAGCCTGACCCAGGCCACCCCTCTGCGGGCCTTGTCCGCCCCGCCCCTGCAGGAGGCATGATCAGCTTTGACGTCTTCCCCGAGGGCTGGGACAAACGCTACTGCCTGGACAGCCTGGGCCAGGACAGCTTCGACACCATCCATTTCTTCGGGAACGAGACCAGTCCCGTGAGTGTGGCTCAGCCCAGGTCCCTCCCACTCCACGTCACCCCCCAGGTCAAGGCCAGGGCACGGGGTGACAGAACAGACCTTGGGGGACTCCCCGAGAACAGCCTGTGCTCACCAGCCCATTACACAGATTGGAAGGCTGGGGCGCAGAGCTGGCTGGGCACTTGCTTCATGTCACATAACAAGTTAGGGCAGACCTGGTAAGGGCAGAGGACGGCTTTCTGAATGTTCTGAGGGGACATCCAGAACATTCTCCTCTGCAGAAGCCAGTGTGGGAGGAGACCACACTGAGTCAGAGTGGGTACTGGTCCCCAACCTGGGAGCCTTGTCCAGGCGCCACCATCTCTGTCTCCTTCTGTGCACAGGGTGGGAACGACTTTGAGATCTATGCCGACCCCCGCACTGTGGGCCACAGTGTGGTCTCCCCTCAGGACACAGTGCAGCGATGTCGTGAGATCTTCTTCCCAGAGACAGCCCATGAGGTGTGACCGCGACTCCCAGAGACCTCCGCCCAGGCTGAGAAAACACCCTGGCCCCGGTGCTCAGTGGGCGCCTGGCCCTTCCGTCTCCAGCCCAGGACGCCTGCCTCACTGCCTGCTGCAAGGCCCACTGTGACGGGGCCAGGGTCTGTGCAGACCGTCCCTGGCGGCCAGCTCCTGGTGGGACTGGCTCCACCCTCCACCCCAGTGGCCCGGGCTCCAGCTGCTGCTTGTATTTCTGAACAGGACAGGTTTCCGTCTGCACTGGGTGGAGGTGTGCGTGAGTGTCCGTGTGAGACAGAGCCCACCCTGCCTGCCTGTCCCAAACTGGGGTGCAGGGTGGTGGGGAGGGTGTGTATTTACTAGAACTTTATCACAAATATTAAAGCTCCCAGGACAAGGCATGCATCAGTTCTTTCTGAATGGGTAATTGGTGCCAGCCACAGATGCCGTCGTGGCCACCTCTTCGCAGATGAGGAAACTGGCACAGGTGGCAGGGACTCAGTGTAGGTCACACAGAAGTCTCTGACCCAGTGAAGAAGGGTGGTTTGGGGTGTTCTCCCCAGCCCCTCCCCCGGGGACCAGACACATAGGCAGTTCTGGGCCAAGCTGAGTCACAGTTGAGGATTTATTGCCAGTGTTGGGGGTGGGTGGGGGAGTCCGGGTGGCTGGGGGCTCAGAAGGGTTTGTGACTAGACACTGTGGGGGCGAGGTGACAGGAGTGCTGCTGCTCCTGTCACCCCAGGTGGCCCCAGGGCTGATGTCCCCACATCCTGCCTCCTCACCAGGGCCTCAAAAAGGGGGTCTACTCACAGGAGGGGGTTTGGGGGTGCTTCCAGGGGTTAGTCTGCACCAGTAGACTGACTACCAAGGAAGCTGGGGAGTCCTTGTTCTCAGGGGAGAGGCCTCGGGCCTTGCTAGTGCAGCCCCAGCTCAGAGCTGGGTGTCAGGCTGGGTCATTCTCAGTTTTGGGAAGCTGGCCAGCACATCTCAGCAGCTTGGGGCTCCCAGACCCTAGTGGGGACTGAGGACAGGGACGTGAATCCCAGCTGATCTCTACCCCACATTCTTGGTGTCTTCAGAGCTGGGGGTCCTAGGCAGTTGTCACTTCTGCATCTTGGGCTTTTGAGCCCCGACTTACACACAGACTGCGGTCCTCAGGGTCACTGTCCTGCAGGCCCCCCCTTAAGCCCCGTTTCAATCTGCATCAGGTCAATGTGCTCTGGATGGGGATGGGGGTCGGGGGAAGCCCTCCTTCCTGGCCTCCCAGGCCAGGCCCACCCCACCCAAGACAGACAGACACACACACACACACACACACACACACACACACACACACCTGAGGGCTTGACAACGTAGGGACACGATTTGGCCACTGCCTTGGGGGCCAGCAGAAACCACCACCCCACCGATTTGGGAAGAGGGACCAGCGAGGGGTTTGCGGGGTTAGTGGCCTCCCAGGCTGAGGGCCGTCCTTGTGGGTGCCCCGCCTGGCCCTGCCTGAGGGGACGTGCGTCCATCCATCGCGGGGTCCGCGGCAGCCATCGTGCGGAGCACAGGCTGAGCATCAGTGAGGATTGTGAGTCAGGACAAAGGAGAGGCCTCAATCCAGGCTCAGGGAGACACGTCCCCACCCCCGCAGACCCATGCCTCCTGGGGAAGTTGAGGCGGCCGACTCAGCGTGGCCCAGGGGAGAAGATACGACCTCAGTTTGGGGTTCATGGAGCCGTTGCCAGGCTGAGGAGAAGGGACAGGCCCCAGATGCCTTTGCCCTCGGGCCCCTCCCCTGCCTCCAGTGTGTGCTGGGAGAGGAGGCCAGGCTGGGGCGCCAAAGGGGGCCGCACGCCTCCACCTTTCACCCTCTTTCCTTGCCACAGGCTGGGAGGCCCCCAAAGTGCTTGCTGGCCTGGCTGAGGGTGAGGTCCAGGCCACTGTGGGAGACCCCGGCCCTGGGGGAGGTGGGAGTAGCACAAGTAGCCCTGGCCCCCCCAGGGCCGGGGCCTCAGGCAGAAGCAGGGCCCAGGGGTGCCCCCTGCAGGCACATGGAGCGGTGGGCCGGGGGGCCAAGGGCACCAGTGTGGCAGGGAGGGGAGGAAGGAGAGAGCGTGGACAAGAAGAGGAGGCGGTCTGGTGGCTGCCCCCTCGGTCCAGCTCACGTAACAGTCACAGGTCACAGGGCTGGATGGAGGCACACACTCACTGCCACAAGCACAGACAGACAGACAGACGTGCACACTGAGGCTGCCCAGGGGACAGTCAGCCAGTGCTGTGGGGCAGGGAGCCAGCTGCTGCCTGTCCACCCTGGGGGACTCCCCCCCCAGCCTAGGAGCCCACGACCTGGCCGGACCACGTCTCGTGGGGAGTGTGGGGAGCCAGCTGGGTGAGCACCACCTCCACAGCCTGGAACTTCTGGTTCTTGGGCGGGATGGGGCACATCTTGTAGGTCACCTCGTCGCCCTCCACCGGGACGTACTCCCCCTCAATGCTGGAGGCAGGAAAGGGTCGTCAGCCCCGCAGTGGGCCCCCTCTCTGGACACTCCCTGCAGCCTGGCCTAAGGGCAGCCTAGCGGCCCCCCCCCCGCCCCGCTCGCCAGAACCTCAGCCCTCTACCTTGTAACATGGGAGGCATAAACTGTCCTTTCCTCTATGTTGGGGATTAAGTGAGATGAGAAAGGGTGCAGGGGGGTCCCTGAGGCTTTAGAGAATCTGTGACCTCCCCAGGTCATGCCTAGGATTAGGGTTGGGACACAGGCCAGACATACCTGTCCCCTCCTACCTGCCTGCCTGTGGCCCCTTCTGGGCAGAAGGGCCCAGGGGCTGGCCGGGGCCTCCCAGGCCCCTGAGGCTGAGACAGGATCCCAGGGCTCAGCTAGAGGTTCCTAAAGCTCCTGGGAGCTGAGCCGCCCCCTCCCGCCATGCACCCCAGCTCTCCTCCTCCTCCCAGTGCACCCAGCCCCTGAGGGGAGGAGGAGAATGATCCTGGGGGACCCAGGCCTCAGCTGTGAGGGGAGAAACCTGGGGAGGCATCTCAGAGGCCCTGCTAGGACGCTGCAGCTGAGAAGGAGACAGGAGGGACCACTGAGATGGGGGCTGGGGGACAGCACTCACTCTGACACGTGCACAAAGATGTCCTCGGATCCGTTCTCAGGGGTGATGAAGCCGTGGCCTTGGGAGCGGGAGAACTGCTTGCAGACGCCCTTGAACACGGGGCCAGCAGAGGCGCGGGCTGTCCTAAAGATACAGCAGGGGAACTGGAGCTCTGGCCTAGGGACACGACCCACCCAGACCCCCAGAACCCAGGGGGTTCTGCCTGGGGACCCAGCCTCAGGAAACCCTCCCCCACCAGAAACTGCATTCAATTATGCTGATTCACTCAGCTCCTTGCACTGACAGAAGCGGTGTGGCGGGGGGCAAGTGCTGGGGTGGGGAGGCAGTGGGGGGCTGTCCCAGGGCACTCAGAAAGTGGGTCTCCTGACTCCCAGCCAGCGCCCCTCGATGCACAGCACCCCCTCACTCTCCCCTGCAGCAGCGATACCCTATTCGCTCCTCTGCCACTCATTCCTTCTTCCTCATTCATTTATTTATTTGTTTCAAATTATAAGAGAAAGTTTATTTAGAAAGTTACAGAGGTAGCAGGAGTGAGCCAGCTGGGCTCTGAGGACTCAGGAAATAAGTTACGAAAGCAAAAGAAGGGCCCTGGGAGCTTAGAGAGGGAAGGGCAGGAGTAAGGGGCCCCAGGGGGAAGGAGGGGGGTCAGGGGAGGCGAGTGCTTTTGATTGTTTATTAAGCACCTGCTCCGTGCCTGGCCTCCTGTTGGACACAAGGGACACTTAGCACTTGCCATAAAAAAACCCTTCCTTTGGCCACACCAAGTCAACCTCCCTGTGGATCTGATAAACCTCCTCTGCCTTCCCACCCCGTCAGTGACTGTCCCCAAAGGCCCACCCCACTCCAAAGGTCAACCCTGAGCCTCCATTTTTGCCCAGGCTGGTCCATCTTCCAACTTTGTCCTTCACCTGGTATACCTTCCCATCCCAGCTGAGACATCCCCGTCACTAACGCCTAACTCTGGGTCCTCACTCCCACCCCTGCCAGAGGCAGTGAATGGTGGACGAGTTCCCTCAGAATTGTGTGCAGCTTGTGGGCTGAGACTTTGTAGAATTTAACACTGGATCCCCTGGCCAGGAGCTCAATAAGTCTTTGTGGAATGAATGAATGAACATCAGCAGTTACTGAGAAGTCCACACACAGCTCTCCTGTCCTTGGGAAAGAACAGAGGCTGGAGAAGGATGGGGCTGAAGCCTGTGCAAGGGGCAGGTACTCACGCTGAATACGTCCTGGTCCGCTTGGTGGGCAGGGGACTGGGCAGGTCCCGAGATGAGACACTGCCCCTGTCCCAGACCCTGCTGCCTTCCCGGTGGAAGGGGAAGGTGGGCCAGACGGGGGACTTTGGGGAGTGGAGTGGGGGCACGACCGGGGACGAGGTGGGCTCCGAAGTCATGGTGGGGCCAGGGGGAGAGCCTGGTGGGCTCCCGGGCACAGGGGCCAGTGAGGGGCTCGGGCGTCCTTGCAGGCAGGGCCCGGCCCGGCCCTGCCCGGAGGCCTCTCCAGCCACAGGCTCCGTCTAGAAGGGGAGAGAGAGGAAGAGGTGAGTGTGGTCCAGGACCGGCAGCTTCTGGACACTGAGCACCAGCCTGGAGGGCCGGGCCTGCCTGCCACTCCTCCCAGAATGACATCAGGCCACTCGTGGCCTTTCTCTGACTCAGTGTCCTCACCGCAAAGACAAAACATAGAACCTTGCTATGGGCGGAGTTGTAGTCCCCTAAAATTCACGTGTCACAGTCCTACCCCTGGTGCGACAGTGTTAGAGACGGGGGCCTTTGGAAGACAGCGAGGTTTAGATGAGGTCAGGAGGGTGAGGCCCCAGGAAGGGGTCAGTGTCCCTAGAAGAGCCCCTGGAGGGCTTGCTTCCTCTCTCCCTGGCCTGTGAGGACACAGCGAGAAGAGGGCCATCTACCACCACACCACGCTGGCACCATGAGCTTGGACTTCTGGCCTTAGAACTGTAAAACGGAGTGCCTGACGCTTAAGGCCCCATCTGTGGTATTTTGTTACGGTGGTCCGCACCGAGGAAGACGGGTTCGAAGTCCTTCCAGCTTCACGTTCGATTCTCTAACTCCGGGGGGCGGGGGGGGGGGGCTGGGAGGGGGGAGGGGTGAGGTGGCCGACGGTCAGGAACACAGTCAGGCCCGAGCGTCAGCAGTTTCAAATCCACAGATCTGGGTTTGAACCTCAAGTTTGAACCTCAACTTTGTCATTCATAACCTGGTGACCTCTACTCTAACGTGGTAGGTGGGTGTGTGGACTGTGGGCCCAGAGGGCCTGGGTTGGAATCCTGGTTTCTCTGCCTACGGGTTCTGTGACTGTGGTCAACACTCAAACTTTGACTCAGTTTCCTGTTCTGTAAAATGGGGATAGTGTTGGTTCTGACTTCACAGAGAGGTTGCTGTGAGGACTGAGTGACTTTCTACATGCTGAGAACAGGGCGAAGGCGTGGTGAGCTCTCGGAAGGCTGGCAGTTCTTCCTTAGCCCCGTTCCCTCCTCCCTAAAATGAGACTGAGAACACTTACCTCCCAAGGTTGCTGAGGATTCAATGACTTAGTGTGTGTGACAGCACCTAGCATCTTGTAGATACCCAATCAATTGCTATTATCAATGCAAACCAACAGAAATTCCCGGTCAACAGCTCAATGTGCAGATAACCTTGAAAACATTCATTCTATATTTTCCTCTACTGAGGAGGCAAACATACCGTATTTTGCCGAGTATAACGTGCACCCAGGTTTTTGTGCATTACTATATCTATGGCATCTAATCATTTATACCCATGCCCAATGAACATCCTTATTTTTCCCCTCAAAAATTTAGGCAAAAAAGTGTGCATTACACATCACAAAATATGGTAGTTTCCCCACCCTCCCTCTCCACAGGGGTTGGGAAGCCTCGGACCCCAAGAGGCTGCTGTGGGACCCCGGGGAGAAGAGCTCAATGCACCAAGCCGGCTGTGGACTGAGCCTGGGCCAGGCAGCCCGCCACGTGGGGCCGGGCAGGATGCCTGGACGGAAGAGCTCCAGCTCAGCGCAGGATTAGCTATGACCTTGGGGAGCAAGGGCTTCTCTGCACGAAGGAACGGACAAAGCCCACTTCACCCCTCACAGGCTGCGGGGGCCTGGCTCAGCCTGGATATGCGAAGAAACTCCTGGAGTCCACAGTCATGTAGGAGTCAGGGCGGTGGGTTCTCCACCTTCTCACCCCTCTTCCTAACCCCAACCCCTCACCCAGAGGCTCTGGGGTCAGAGGAGAATCCCTGAGCTGCAAGTCTATTTCCGGCCTCCACATTGCCCCACCCCCAAGCCTGGAGTTTCCAGGAAGGAGTTTAAGGCTTCCCAGGGGTCTAGAAAGCCCGGGGAGCCCACCAGACACCCCACGGTAGGGCTGGAAGAGCGAGGAGTCACTTGTTCAACCCCCATCCCAGCAGCAGGATTCCTGGCCCCTGTGAAGATCACACAGGTGTTTCTGGGTCGAGATGATGAGTAGCTCTGCCAGCCCTGGGGGTGCAGGTAGGACCGCCTCCGCCTGCCCAGGTATTCCCCTCCACCCAGCAGAGCTGGAGGGGCAGAGAATTGCCCCTGATGGCCTCCACAGTCATTGTCATGGGCTCCTACAGTCCCTCACAGCCCTCATAACCCCCTCAAGCTGATGCCAGGTCTTTCGGAGCCCACTCCAACAGGCAGGAGTGGACTAGGTTTGGCTTTTTTATCCCCATTTTAGAGAGAAGAAAACTGAAGCTTCAAGAAAAGAAGGCTTCACACAAACACTTGCACTTGAGTGTTCATGGCAATATTCTTGCTTGTAGCCAGCACACGGAGACCACACAAAGGTCTCTCGGCTGGTGGCCGGACAGGCAGAGAGCGCCGTGCCGCCGGGCAGCAGGGTGTTATCCAGCCAGAAAACGGGGGGAAGTCCTGACACAGGCTGGACCCAGAGGAGCCTTGAGGTCGTCGCGCCAGGGGAAGCACCCAGGCACAAGGGACCGTACGGTGCCTGGTTCCACTCATCAGAAGTGACCGAAATAGGCAAATGCACAGAGAAAGCAAGCAGATTAGCGTTTACCAGGGCCTGGGGGAGGGCAAAATGGGGAGTGACTTCTAATGGGTACAGAGTTTCTTTTTGGGGTGATGGGAATGTTCTAAATTGACATACACAACTCTGTGAATGTACCCCAAACCACGGACTTGTCCGTGGCAGGTGAGTTACATGGCGTGTGAATTATATCTCAATAAAGCTGTTATCAAAAAGGAAGATGGGCAGCAAAGCTCCCCAAGATGCCAGCCAGGAAAGCACCAGGTGCCAGGCTGGGTGTCCCCTACCTCACTGGGGCAAGGGTGGCGGGTGGCGGGGACAGAAGCTCTCCTTCCTCTCTGCAGGAAGCAGGGAGGTCCTGCCCACTACACAGTTTTTCCAGGCCTGGCACTGTGCTTGGTGGTGACAGCCAGTGCAGGGAGGTCCTGGGGGTGGAGGGGAGCGAAGGAGATGGGGGAGGGGCAGAGGCAGCCCACAGTGGTTACCAGGGAGACGCAGCTGAGCTGGGCTGGGCACTGGCCAGCCAGGCCTCCCAAGCCAAGGCCAATCCCGGGCGGTAGGAAGGGGAAAATGCAGTGACTATCCAGGGTCAGCCTTGACAGCAGAGTAGCCCTCTTCTTTCCCCTCCCATTGGCAGGCTCCCCAAAACGGACCAGCAGCATCCAGCCCCCAAGGGAATAGGCTGAGGCTGCACCGCCACCATGTTCCCCCCCCGGGGGTGGGGGGTGGTGGTGGTGCCCTTGGGCAGGAGGGGCAGATGAGGCAACCGCCACAGCGGAGCTGCTCCGGACCCTCTGCGCATCTCTTTCCTCTCCTGGAAACTGGAATCACGAGACTCCCTCCTTGGAGAGCTCCGAGGAGGAAGAGATGGGATGCAGTGTGGGAAGCACAGAGTAGGTGCTGGGCAAGAGGTTGCTCCTCCCAGACAGGGCTGCTAAATTGGGCGCGGAGGGAGGACAGAGGAGGGGGAAGGAGAGACCCAGCTGAGCCAAGCCCAGCCTTCACTCACCTGTTCCCCATCTCCCCAGGGACACACCCATCCACTAGATCTCTGCCCCATCTGTCATAGCTTCCCCTTTTATTAACTTTCTGCAATGGCCCTTTGAGGCTGGTACTATTATTAGCCCATCTCGTAAAAGACAACTGAGGATCAGAGAAGCTAAGCTACTCACACAAGGTCACACAGCAATTAATGTCCAAGCCAGGACTCAAACTTGGGCAGTCTGACTCTGCAGCCTGGAGTGGGAAGTCAGGGGTCCTGGGTTCTGGCCCTGAGTTGTTACTGACTTGCTCTGTGACTTTGGACAGAGTCTTTCCCTCTCTGGGCCAGAGCCCTGGACTTGAAGGAGCTGCACCATGCCCAGCAGCCTAGGAGCCCAGAGAGAAGGGATGCAGAGAAAGCTTTCAGCTCAGGTCCTTGCTACAAAAAGGGGCGAATCAAGACAGGATTTTACTGTCTGAATGCCATATATCTGCAGAAGTCTTTTCAGAACAACTTAACATTTTTCAACCTCCCAGTTGCCCTGAAAGGTTGCAGTTGGAATTGTCTCCATTTTATAGATGAGGAAGCTGAGGCTCCGAGAGGATAAGTGAGAGAACCCAGATTCCTCTCCAGGTAACCAGTGCTCTTCCTGTGAGGACAAACACTGTTCCTAGTTCAGCCAAGACAAAGCTGGAGTTTTCCCAAAAGGACTCTCCCCGAGAAGCTAAAGGGGAAAATAAACTCCTCCAGGAGCAGAGAAACAAATGTGTCTGTAGAACATTTGTTTCAACACTAACAGACCCGAAGCCCAGCTCCCGAAGGCCCCGGTGTGGCAGTCTGGGGGCGTGTCCTGCCAGGAATGGTGCCCTTCAGAACGGTGGTCTGAGCAGGCGAGGACAGCTCAGGCCCCAGGGTCCCTGGCTCCACAGTGCTGTGGCTGAGGGACCCCACCCCTCCTTCTGAGTCTCAGAGTTCTCATTTGTCAAATAGGGCTGATCACGGAGCACCCTGTCCCCGCTGTGGGAGGGGGCCGGGGAGCTGTGAGTGGGCCTACCAGCGAGGGGGCACCCCCCCCACACACCTGGTTTGGCTCCCAGCCAAGCCCCTCCTCATTTGCCCGTGTGCAGGCTTAACCCCAGCTGACCATGATTCTGCAGATGAAAGCGCCCAGGAGGCAAAAACAAAACATCAGAGCTCTTGGGAGATAATCTGAGGCCTCCCTTTGACCCCCTGCGATCCAGCCAGCTTTATGGGACCTGGGACGGTGACTCAGCCCTGGTGCTGGGGCTCCTCCAATTCTCAGCTCCTCCAAAAGGACAGACAGGAAATGGCTGGCAGAGTTCTCACTTGACCACGTGAATAAGCTCTCCTCTGGGGCAGACCCGGGAAAGCAATCTGGCTTAACCTCCCAGTGCCAGGTGGCCTGGGACAAGCACCTGACCCCGGCTACCTCAGCTACACGTATTTCCACTGGTCCAGATGACTAACAAGGGTCCGTTCAACTGTCCCCTAAAGTCACTGAACCTACGTGCATAAGTGAAGGAACACCAAGTGCTGGGTGCCAGGGCCACACACGTGAGAGGAGGCAGCCCCGCCCAGAGAGGACTGGAGCCCTGAGTGGGAAGCCTGACATGACAGGTCATGGCTACTCCAATACTACTGATTAGCAACCGCGTGCCACGTGGGCCGCCGGGCCCTTTGCCCCATTTCCTCATTTAGTCCTCACAGCAGCACTGTGCGGAGTAGCGCCCCGACTACTCCCACTCTTCAGAAGAGTAAACCGAGGCTCAGAGAGGTGAAGAGGATCACTGGGGTCGCCCAGCCAGTCAGGGGCAGCACTTCCACAGCCCGGAAACATTTGCGGGGTGTAGATTCAACTCCTGCTGGAAGGTGGGGGGAGGGCTAGCAAGTCCCCGGAGAAGGGAGGGCTGGGGTGTGGAAGAACTGGGGACTCAGGGCTCAGGCTCTATTCCTGGCTTTGCGCTGACTCAGACCATGACCTTGACTGAGTCACCTGCCAACTCTGCTTAAAAACAGCTCCCCCAATAAAAGCATTCCAACCCAAGACCCCACTGCGGAGAAGCAGACAGGGGAGGAAGAATATGATGGCCTAAAAATGGGAAGGACAGGGGACACAGGATGACAGTGGAAGGGCTTTCTGAACGTTAAGGTCCTGTCTAGGGTGAGCCCCAGGAGGGGAGGGAACAGCCTCAGGACCACCGGGCAAGGCTGGCACTTCCCCGGCCCCTCCCCCACCCTGCCTCCCAGACACTCCTTAAAATACCTCAGTGCCAAAGCCGCTCCAGCAGCTGGAGGTGACCTAATTAAGCCTGGTTCTTTCCCCATCCATGGTGTGGGGGGAAGGGAGGGGGGCTGCCCCAGCCAAAACTTAATTTTAATTGAGACACTTTTGTTCTGGTCCTTGCCGCATGCCCATGCCGCCGGGGGGCTGCTGGGATTAGGCCTTTGGGCATTCTTGGCATCACCAGGGTGGGGATGTAGAGGTGGGGACCTGGAGAGACACGCTCACATCTCAGCTCTGCGAGACTGTGTGGCCCTGGGCAAGACACTTTCCACTCTGAGTTCCTTTAGAGAAAGGAACAGACTGGTCAGAGTAACATGTAAAGTGGCTGAGCTTGAACTTCCATCAGCAAGACCCCAAAGCTCTTGACCTTTCTAGCACGTCCTGCCTCTCATCCCAGTGACCATCATTTCACTGGTGTGGGGCAGATGGAGAGCCCCACACTGCTTTTTGCACCCCCCCATCTCGCTGCTCCCTATCTTACATGGACAAAGGTCCCAACTGTCCCAAGCCCCCTTTCTACCAGGCTCTGGACCCTTCCTGGTCATGCTGGTTGTGACCAGCTCAGCCAGGCCCTGAGCGCCCTCTGCTGGTGGCACTCTTGGGAATCTACTCCAGACCAGCCTCCAGGTGTCCCCTCCCCACCCACTAGCTGCGTGTGGCCCCCGATGCTCCCTAGCGAGACCCACTGTATGGCCAGTGGCCACCCCTGAACACTGCCCACCTGTCTCCAGGCCTGGAACTGCCCTCTGGCCTCTCCCAGGCCAGTGTGAGTTCCCACTTCCATCTGTCCTTCTTTTGGAGGGTGGGCCAGACAGATCCAGAGGGGCGGGGCAGGTACGGGAACATAGATGTTTTAGAAAAAGACTTGAAGGACATGGTAGCGGGGAGGCTGGGAGGAGGAGACATCCAGAATGTGGAGGCCTCATCCAGAGGCCTCTGAGATGCAGTTTGATTTGGGGAACTGACTCCCCATCCCCTAGGGGGCTGGAGACAACCCCTTCTCAGAGAGAGGCCTGTAATGGAGCAGAGCCAGGCTGGCCCGACGCCAGGCCCCCAGAGGTTGCCCACCCCCCACTGGGGTGCACTTCCGCCTCCCCGCCCCCCTCGCAGCGGATGCAGCAGTTCACACTCAGTGTTTATTATTGTTCTCTGCATCCCCCTCCCCTCTCCTTGGGAAGAGGCTGCCGGCTGGCAGGCTGGCAGGAACCTGCCGCCTCCGTTGTGGGTGCCAGTATCATGGCCCCTTATCTCCACCTGGACTCCTCGTGCCAGGGTCAGGCCACTCAGGGACTTGGCTCCTGCTGAGCCTGCCCCAATCCCTGTATTCCACCGCTGGGGGCCCAGAAGCCTCTGGCTTATCACCCCTGCCTTCCAGGGGCTGTACCCCAGCAAGAGTGGAGGTCAAAGCAGGGGAGAGGGGTGGCCTCAGGAGAGGCAAAAGGGACAGGTAGGGTGGCTCCAAGGTGAAAATAGTAGCATGGAGCTACCTCTCCAAGCCAATCATCATAATTAACCCCATCACATGGGGAAGAAGCAGTCAAGATAAGACAGCTGCTCCCGGTCCAACTGTCGGCTCCAGACGGCCCTTCCCCCGCACCTCCCACCGCCCTAGCCCCAAATTCCTGGGGACAAGGCCCATTATGTCCCCTCCTGCACTTTACTTTCAGCATCTGGTAGGAGCACAATTATTCAGATTATTTCTCCAGTCATTTCTCTCCCCCTGGTTCCCACACAGGAGGCTGCAGCTTGGCAGGTGCCTGCTCTGCTTCTTGAGCCAGACACAAGTCCCAGACACATACGCGCAGACACATGCTGTCTCACGGGGAGCCACACAGCCTCGGCTTCCCTCGGGGGCCAGGGAGAGGGGTGTGGGCAGGGTGGGCTCCTCTACACACCCTCCCACATCCCCTCTGTAAACTGGACGGGCTGGTCCAGCCCGGGGGAAGGTACCCACCTTCCCAGCACCCCCCCCACATCCCTCCTTTGCCCCTGCCAAACCAGTTTCTAGAGCTGGTGTGGACTCAGACCCCCTCCAGCCCCTTACCTCTCCTTGGCGGCTGAGGTCAGGGAGCCGGCTTCAGCACTCTGCCGCTTCCGGGCACTTGGAGCCGGGCGCAGGGGACGGGTCTGAACGATGTGTTGTGTGTATGAGCGCGTGCCTGTGTGTGTGTGTGTGTGTGTGTGTGAGCATGCGGCACCTCAGCCCCTCACTCACTCACACACGCCTTCCTCCTGACGTCAGAAAGAGCAGGAGGGAGGGGCTGGGGTGGGAATTTGTACTCCCTGCTTAAAGGCACACAGGGCCCAGACACCACCTCCTGAGTCAGGCACAGGCTTGGGGAGAGAGTTAGCTGCGTCTCTCGGGGCCCTAAAGCTTCTTTTTTTGGAAAGTGGCTTTTATTGCCAGGCCAGGGTATAATTTGCCCTGCCAGGTGGGAGTAACTGCTGAGGAATGCAGGGGAGGAAGAGCTGGGGGCAGCTTGCATTCCTGCCAATTAGAGAGCAAGTGGGGTGGCGAACAAGCAAGGGAGCGAGCAAGCATGAGCGTGAGTATACCTGTGAGTGTGCCTGCTGGGGGGGCTGAGGGTGGGGCTGAGTCTGGGAGGGTGGGGGCCACAGCAGAAAGGGCCCCCTAGAGGGTGCTCCAGATGAGGGCAGGGACGGGGAGAGCTGGGTCCCCAGGGACTCTCGTACTTCTCTCTACCCTCTGGACCTTCAGAGTGTCCCTGCTTTCCTTTAGCACCAACACTGTGCTCACGGCTGCCCCTTGCTTGGCTCTGAGATCCTTGTGAGTGAACGGACGTTGGCAAGTCACAAGAACTCACCGCTTTCTCAGGGGGCCCTTGAGATATTTGTTTTGAATAGAAGAGGACCCTAAGGGAGTAATAGGCTTGCTACACACACAGCGTGGGAGTCTCTCCCCACGCCCCCGGAGAGTTCTGCGTTTCCCCCCGCAGACCAGCCCCCGGTGTGAGTCTCAGCCCCAGCACTTTCAGGCTGTGTGACCTTGGGCAAGCCTCTTACGACTCTGATCCTCCACAGCCTCATCTGTAGAGCAGGGAAGAGAGGACCACTGGGGCTTCAAGTGCAATACGGACAAAAGCCATAGCTCAGGGCCATATGGAGGAGGCATCACAGAGGAGTTTCCCCTCCTCCCTCCGGCCCCTGCTCCTTAGCCTCGGAGTGGACAGAAGGAAGCCTTTCCCTCCTACACCCTTAGTACTACTGAAGCAGGCTGGTACTGTCAAAATAAGTCTTATTAAAATAAAAAGGGAGGATGTAACAGGGAAACAATCGTGAAAAATACCAAAGACGAGTAAAAATAGCCAGGAAGTGCACTGAGGGTGTCCCACTCGTGAGGCCACCTGCTTTGTCCTCGTTTCAAGCTCATGGCAGCCCTGCACTTCACTATGGTGGCCCGTCTGCTGGTGCGGAAACAGGCTCAGACGGCAGGAGGGGCTGCCTGTGTTCGTTACCCGGTCAGAGGGGCGTTTGGACCCAGGGCACGCAGCCCTCCCACATACCCTGCGGTTCCAGAACCTCCCAGATCCTGGGTCCTGATCCCGGAGAGACGGGTTGCCCGAGACCCACAGCTCTGACTCCTCGTCACCCGTCGGAGGACCTGCCCACAGGAATCTTCCCCCTTTTTCCTTCTTCTCTTCCAAAGACAATAATAGTTTTCATCATCTCATCTGCTTCTTATAAGTAGTCTGTGAGGTTTACCTGGGTGAGGAAACAGGCTGGGAGGGATGCCGGGGCTCCCCGGAGTCGCCGAGCTCATTGAAGGGACTGGGACAGAGCAGCCTGAGCCCCGGCTCCAGACCTGGACCACGGTGGAGGCCTTGTGATTCTCACTGCCCACCCCCCGCTGTCCCTTCTTCTGGGAACTGCCCTGCGCCCGCCTGGGGACTCCCCTCTCCTCTCTCTCTGTCCACAGGACCCCTGGCCCAGGCTCGGCCAGTGAGAACCGGTGCTAGGATGTGGGCAGAAATCTCCATGCCGCTGGCTCTCATCCCCATGGCTTCTGAGTCTGTGTAGATTGGCCTTGGGCTGTTGGTGGACCCAGAAGGGGGGTGTGGGGGTGTGGGAGGGGGTGGATTACAAACAGGGGCCAGCAGAGGGGCATGGCCAGGGAGGACTTCTCCAAGCTAATGATGTTTAAGCTGAGTCCCACCTGACCAGAGAGAGCCAGCTTTGCCAGAATCCAGAGAGAAGACATCGTCGGAAGAGGACGGTGGGTCAGAAGGGCCCTCAGATGAGCATGAGCTTCTGTATCCAGGGGGGAGGAAGGAGGCTGGTGTGGCCGGGAGGCCTGGTGTGCTGTGAATGAGGCCAAGGGTTGGGCAAGGGCCCGGGGCCCGGCCCTCCCTACACCCTCTCTGCCTGTCCAGCCTTCTTTCTCCAAGGCTCCTCCCTGCCAGCTGGTGAGCATGTGCCGGAACAGTGAATGGGGGAGGCTGGGCGAGGGTCGAAGTAGTGTTATGATATTCTCTCGACAGTGAGGAGAGGGCACAGCTGTTCATTCAGGAAATGAGCAGCCCGAGGCACAACCTACCCACCCACATGCAGTGAGTAACAAAGAAACTGTCTGCTTCAAACCAGGGGCTCTGCCACAAAGGCTATTTTTGTGAAAAGCTGAGAATTCAAAAGCCTGTCTCCTTGAAAGCCTCCCTCATCTTGGAGAAGCTGAAGACGTGGGTCAGAGCTGAACAGCACCTGAATCCTATTTATTTCACCTGGATTATAATTCCACCCCATTACTGACGGTCAGCCCACCAACGGGGGCCAGTCCTGGACGACCGCAGCCTTGGTGCCCATAGCCCTTTAAAGTACCTACATTCCTAAGGGGTTGGTGCCACTTGGCAGATGCATGAACTCAGGCACAGAGAGGTTAAGAAACTTGCCCAGCATCACACAGCTGGTAACGAAGCTGGGATTGAAACTCAGGAATTCTGGCCTCCATTTAAAGAATAATTGCACTATTTTTCTTTGCTGTACCACACTGTCTTTGAAATGCCTTCTCGGGTCCTTGCAGGCCTGTCTCTTCCACCGCCGTGGCACTTGTCTCCACCCTGTCTAGTAAATTAGACTGGTCCTTCCTTCTTCCCTCCCTGTCCTCCAGTTCTTTTCTCCGATCTGACTACTGCCCTTTTGCTAGAGATCTTTTTCTGCAGGTCTGATCACATGATCTGTTCATTTTGTTTATACACGTGACAAATATTGTTTGACCACCTACTATCTACCAGATGGTCTAGGCTCAAATACCGCAGTGAATAAGGCAAATACCCCTTCAGTTTACAAAACCGTCTCATCTAGGGAGAGACGTGGCACCAAGTACGTAAGCAAATAAATGTATAATCACACATTTGAAGATAACAAATTTGACACCAAGGCGACTAGTAGGGCCAAGTCTAGCTGCTGAAATAGAGGGCTGAGACACAAGTACTCTGACAAGGGATCCTGTAAGCTAAACCCCCCAAATGACAAGGATCCAGCCTTGTTAAAAGCAGGGAAAAGTGTTTCCTAAGGAGGGAACAACGTGGGTGAACTCCCAGAGGCAGGAAAGAACTCTGTGTATTCGAGGAAATTAAAGTCGCTGATGTGGCCGCAGCAGGGAAGGGGAGAAGAGCAGGAACCATGCTGTGTGGGTTTGGGGGGTCCAGTGAGAGGCAGGCTCCTCCTCTGAAGTGAGACAGGGAGAAATGACATGCTTCTGCCTCTGGTGCCGCTGGTGGCTGGCAGTCCTGTCTAAGGTAACGATCAATGTGGGCAGCAGAATGAGGGAACACAGAGGGGTCCCTGGCCTGGGCACCCCCTGCGCCCTGCCCTGAAGACCTGGGGCTGGAGCAGCCAGGCTGACCCCCCACTGATGCGGGATGGGATGGGCTGTGAGCCAGGGCTCCATCAGATGTGTGTGCACGCACACACACTCACACATTCCTGAACACCCCGGGCTGTGCATCTCCACCTTCTCAACACCTCGGGCTCACCTCCAACCTCACCTTCTGAGAGAGCCTGTCTCTGAACCACCCTGACTAAAGTGGCAGCCCCCTGTCAGCCACTGTCACATTGTCCGTGTGACCTTTCTTGATAGCAATGCCCGAAATGACCTCCTGCATCTGTTTATTCCCCGTTTTCTGTTGGTCCCCTCCCCACTCCCCCAGAGCAGGGCCGGCCTCAGGCACAGCGGCCCCAACAAATGCCTGCTGACTGTCTGCCCTCTGTTTCGGCTCAAGATGAAACAGAGAGCAACATCCTGGGACACTTCGTTTAGGTTCCTTTCAGAATCGCTGTTTCCAATGGCACTTTGGCTGTGCCTTTGCCCCCATGGAGGGGTCGTTTTAAAAGTGCCCCAATGAGAATGGTTCTTGGGCCTATCCAGACACCATCGGGCGTCCTTCCATCCTCCAGATCCCACACTCCTCTTGAACCTGGAGAGAGTCCTCCCAGGGTCCAGAATCAAGGAAACCTGGTTAATTTCCATTTGTAATTGAAATGTTGGTCTCTTTGCTTTGATTGCTAGAAAGCCCAGGGGCAGATTCTTCTACTGCCAGCAAGTTTACAGGACCATGACGATCTCAAGGCTAATCTTTTCTTGTCATCCCTTTGTTTAATCCAAGAAATATTTGTCCTGGACTTACCATGTGCCTGGCACCGGGGAATCAACAGTGAATGAAACAGATGAAACCCCTGTTTTCATGGCACTCACAGTCAGGAGGGAGAGACAATAAAACAACCTAATAAGTACTGATGCCTATGTCAGAGGGCAATAAATGCTACAGAAAACTATTAAGGAGGGAAGGGAGAGGGGGCTGATTTGCAATTTAAAAAAGGGGTATACGTGTCAGGGAAAATGACACCGAGGTGACATTAAAGCCAGGGACCTCCCCCCGGGATGGCTCAGCTAGCAGGCTGCAGCGGGAACTCCACTCGGCTCTTTCCTCTGCCTCCCGGATGAGTCTCCAACCCTTACTTCTCCCTCGCTCCTACACTCTTAGCAATTATTTTACCACCCTTTTATTTGTGCAAATACCACATATTTACAAGCCTTGACCATGTGCCAGGCACAGGGCAAGGCCCAGAGGAGGTGAAGGACATGACAGAGGAGTCCTCCGCCACACAGGACTGTGCAGACCAAGTCTCTGTGTATTTTGTAAGCCACCTCCAGTCTTCCGTGAATGACACAGAGAATAAAGAAGCCTGGTCCCTGTTTTTCACTAATGAGGAAACCATCCGTGCCAGCGAATGACTGTGACAATCCTGTGAGATGAACGCCATTAAAGAAGCCTGGGAACCCAAAACACTGAACTCTGCAATGCTGGCCCCATTCCCGCCTCCCCCGCCCCAGCTCCCCACCACCACCTGGCTCTCCTCCAATTTCCCATCTCTGCAAAAGGCCCACCACCCAGCCAGTGGCTAAAAACCTCAGGGATTGGCCCCTCCCACTTCCGATCTCAGATCATCCACCCTGTCCTGAGACCACCCCCCCCATACTAACCCCTGCCAGGGCCCTTCTCTTAAGGAGTCACCCAGTAACTTCCTCCCCGGTCTTGTCTCCACTCCAGCCCCTTCCCATCTGCTGTCCATCCAGCTGATGGGTCACTATGTCATTTCCTTGTTCTAACCCTCTAAGGCTTCCCTTTGCTGTCCTAGGACTAAGGTCCTGGAGAAAGAGCTCGGTGCTTAGGACAGTGGGCTCTGGGGCCTGAATCCCACCTCTGCAACTAATCAGTTGTGAGACCTTGAGGGACCCGTTTAACCTCTCTGATGAGGCAAAATTCTAGATACTGCAATGGCATAAACAAGAATGATAAAAGATAATGAATACATTAGATAATGATAATAATCACCCCGACCTTTCATACCTGCTGTGAGTATTAAATTAATGAGGCCCACTCCCCTCCCAGGTCGGCAAACCCTAAACCCCGAGGGTCTCCAGGAGACTTGCAACCAAGGGAGCAACAGGTAGAAAAAGCTTGTTCTGGGGTAACCCCCTGAACCTGACTTCAAGGCCCCCTTTTCTCTGACTTTCCAGTGAGCCAGAGCAGCCCTGCCTAAGCTCATTTCTTTCCTATAACATTTCTAGAGTCAAAGAAGCCCCACCGAGGCTCTCTCCTGTTGCTCCTTCTATCCGAGGCCCTCCCTTATTTCACTGTCCCCAGATTTAATAAACATACTCTCAAAATCAAAAAAGGTCATGAATATTACGACATGGCCCTGTACCCTGGATCACGTTAGGTCTACAACCTCATCAGTTCTCATCTCCCCGATATACTCGCTGAAACGCTTTTGATGTTCTGAAAGCATCACATTCTCGCTCTGTCCTGTTTCCAAGCCCTCTGAGTTGAATCCAGGGGCCTAGTTCTATTCCATCATATCTCCAACAGCTAGACACACAGAATGTTGAAAAAAATGAATGAATGAGAAAGGCCCCTTGTATTGTGTTCTAATGGATATGAATTGCAGTTTTCCAGGTAAAGAAGGGATGCAGGCAGGGCTATGAAAGGCTTGTTCCGTCCTCAGGGCTGGAGGCTCCCAATGCCTGGAGAACAGAAGGAAGATGAGGCTGGAGAGGAGGGCTGAGTTCAATCCAGACTTTTCTGTGTGGGCAAAGGATATTCATGACGGAAGGCTTTTGTGACAGTGGCAGTTGCTTGCAGGAGAAACTGAGGCTGGGAGCTGGGTAAATGGCTAAGCTCCAGGGGAACAATGATGAGGTCTGAACCAGGGCAGTCGCTGTAGGAATAGAATGAAGAAAGAAGATTTGAGAGAAAAAATATATAATTTCCTAAGCACTTTTACTGAATGCCTTCTGGGAAAGATGTTAGGGCGTTAAGGGAATAAAGAGCAGAAGTAGCATTTTCCCTTGTCTTCAAGTAGCTCAAATCCTAGGAAAGGCAGACAGACCTATAAATAAAAATATGGATGCAAGGAAGGTCAAATCCAGTACCACTGCAGCCAGTCTCATAGAAGGATCTCTGTGTGTGTAAAATGAGCAAATTAAAGCATCATCCATTTCTTGAGTCCTCTGCCACCTACCTCAAGGCTCTTTTTAAGTTCTCAAATTATTAAAACACACTTCAGTATATTTTCACAACCCACCAACTTTTGGAGGCAGTGTAGACTTAGACTTAGCAGCCTCCGGTCTTGGACAAGTTACTGAATTCTCTTGGCCCAAGCCCACACTTGCTATCAGATCAAGATGAATGAGATGGGAACGGGGCAGGGGTGAGGGAGGGCAGAGAATGTGGAGGAGTGGGTCTGGGGCAAGATCCTGCAGGGCCTTGTGAGCTACCAGAAAAGTTTTGGGCTTTATGCCCTGGCTGGTGCAGCTCAGTGAATTGAATGCCAGCCTGAGAACCAAAGGGTCACAAGTTCGATTTCCAGTCAGGGTACATGCCTAGGTTGCAGGCCAGATCCCCAGTAGGGGGCTCTTGAGAGGCAACTGCACATTGATGTTTCTCTCCCTCTCTTTCTTCCTCCCTTTTCCTCTCTTAAATAAAAAATAAAATCTTTTAAAAAAAGTTTTGGACTTTATTAGTCCGCTGGGAAGCTACTGAAGTGGTTTATTTGTCACAACGTATTACTACTTTCTAACTGAGATGTGCTCAGTCCATTATAAACGCAAAGATCCTAAGTGTTGAGTTCCATGAGTTTCGAGAATTGTATACATCTGTGACATTTCTATGACCCCCCCCCCCATAAAGGTCCTGCCTGTCCCTTTCCGGTCAGTTCTCCCGTGTCCAAAATACTGAAGGGTCTAAGTACAGTACTGTGTTTGCGTTTTGAAGGGATCACTCTGGCTGGGGCGGGCGCAGAGGGCAGACTGAAAGAAGCAAGGACAGCTTGTCCGAGACTAGGTCGCCTAGCAACCAGAAAGCTTCGTCCGAGGGTTGACAGCTCCTCCAATAGGGAAGGCCATCCAGGCCCCGCCCCGCCCCATTCAGGCCCCGCCTCGCCCCCTTTCGCAAAGGAACCGGTTGGCACCGTCGACCTGCAACGTGGGGCGGGCACAGTCTCCTTATTGGTCGGTTCTCCGGAAGCAATAGGATTCCGAATCTTGCCCAGAGTTGTGAGACCGTCGGCTAGTGTGGGTGCCCGGTGCGTGGTGGCTGTGCGTGGTGTGGGGGCGGCGGGCTGGTCCGTGCGGCGCGGGCGTGCTCACCTCACGCTGGACTGAGATACTCTCGCGCTGAGCCTCAGTTTCCTCCGTTTGCAGTAGCGGAACATGTCCCGCACGAGGCACCTCAGGCCGTACCGCGCAGCCACACTGCCGATCAGAAGGTTGTCTCAGCTATAGGGAGGGGACAGAGGGAGCCCGGGGATCCTCAGGGCTCCAGTCCCCGGTGCCTGACTGACCCTCCTGTTCCCAGAGCCCCCAGCACAGGCCAGGATGTTCGTCTTGGTGGAGATGGTGGACACTGTGCGGATACCCCCGTGGCAGTTTGAGCGGAAACTCAACGACTCCATTGCCGAGGAGCTGAATAAGAAGTTGGCCAACAAGGTACCCGATGGGCCCAGGGGCTCGCGGAAAAGCCTTTGCACGGTAGGGCCCAGCACTGCCCACCAGCATGGTGCAGGCCTGGCTTGGTCATGCCAAGCCTTGGCCTTGGGCAGGTAGCTTATCTCAGAACTCTGCTTCTTCACCTGTACGTGGTAACCCTTATCCCACGAGGATGCTGGAGAGAATCAAAAGGGAAACGGTTTGAGAAGAGCCCTTGTAACTGCGCAGGGCTAGATTCAACACTTCCAAATTGCTTTGCAGTCTTAGGTGAGCATTTACCGACTCTGAGGTGCAGTTTCCATTTGTAAAGTAGAAACAATCATTGCTGTCCAACTAGATACTGTCTTTGTGAAGACGGACATCCGTTCATTGGAGGTTCATCCATTCATTCCTGCAAATGTATGTGCGCCTTCTGTGTGCCAGGCCTGTGTGCCTGATGCCAGATCCCAGAGGTCTTCCACTGCCTTTTCTGTAGTGACCCTCCTTCCTCGGTTAGTCTGTGTCACATCCCTCTTTCCTTCCCAGCACTTCACTTACCATTCTGTTTTCTTACTGGTTTCCTGGATTACTGGCTTTTTTCTTTCCATCTCCATGAGGGCAGGGACCTTGCCCATATTAAGCAAAGCCAGGCACAGAGTAGTTGTCCCATAATGGTCTGTCGACTGAATGAGGGACACAGAAGGTTTCTCCCTGGAGTGTGGTGGGAAAAGCAGATATGCATGAGAGGCTCCCATAGTTGAATGTGATGACAAGTTGAGGTAAAGGCTTTGAAGGACAGGTGTTCACAAGCCCATGGAAGAAAGGAACTATACCTACAATGAAGGAAACAAGCTGCTTTGTGAGGGCCAGGAGGAGCTAGCTAGGGTATTAGTTTTTTTGTGGTGGGAGGGGCTGGGCTGTGCAGGCAGAGGACACAGCATTTGCAAAGGCCCTGTGGCCTTCGGAGAGAATTTGCACCTTCACACCCTGGAGGTGGCTGGTATGGCCTCGCAGGCCAAAAAGGTGGTAGGGACCAGGCCACCCAGGGCCGCAAGACTTCACGAGGTGTTGGTTTGCATTCTTAGAACAGCAGGAGGCATTAAGTGGGGCAGAGCCAGTCAGGGGAAGATGAGCTGGCTTTAGACAGGAGGCAAGTCCCTTCTATAGAGGCTGAGGTTGCAGAAGCGGGTGTGCAGATCTGGGGAGTCGGTGGCGGTGGAGAGCTCTCATGGAGTCCTTGGTAAAGGGGTTCTGGTTACTTTGTGCTGTAGAAAGCCAGGGGGTCTGCGGGGGAGGATGAAGTGTGACCCTCATGGAGGAAGAACGTGTGCCAAGAAAGGAATGCAGCCCCTTTGTGGCATAGGTCCTTCAGGGACCTGTCGAACAACTCTTTCCGTATTGGAATCTGAGTCGTTTGAGAGGAGGACGCACAGAGAGGTCCACGGTCCGGCAAAGGGCACAGAGCTTGTGCTGGACTTTGCCTTACCACCATGAGGTCTGGCCAGGACGTTGAGCTTCTTGCTAATCCTTGAACAGTCCTACAAGGTCTCTAATTGGGAGGTGATGACACTAGTGGCAGATTAGCAGACACCAAGCAAGCAACCAACTGTTTGGAGCCCCATGGGGTGGGGGTGGGGCATAGGATGTTCTCTGCCCAGTGTTGGGACTTTGGCCATGTGTCATCCTGCCAGCCTCAGTCCCTGTGGCCACGTCTGTGTGTCTGAGATTGTGAGCAGAAGGGAGATTACTTACGGTTCTGATGTTCAGTGAGCTGTGAGCTCTAGCATGGGCCTGGGGACCTTGGACAGTGTAGGTTTAACTAGGGGTTCCCCTACCACTGATCCTTACTAGTAATAATAATGATCTTTCCCTGACTGTCATTATAATTTCTAGCATGTGAGCCAGGTAGTGGGATCACAGCTTCCCATCCATCCATTCTCTCTATTTAACCACCTTGTGGCCTGGTATGTCTGTCTTTGTGGATGGGGAAGCTGAGGCTCAGAGAGGTGACCTTGGAGGTCACACAGTGAGTGGCAGAGCTGGGCATTGTTACCTGCATTTGCCTTGTCTTCAAATGCCCTGTTCTTTCCAGAGCTCTGCCTCTTCTACGGTTCTTCATCTGTGGTTCCTTCAGGCAGTGCCCCCAACTCATTTCCCACCGTGAAGTGGGGTGGTCACCCCTGCCCTGAGGTGGTAGGTCTAAAGAGAGACTGCCCGGGAGCTGGGCCTTGGGCTCACCGTGTGTGTACGTGCTGATTCTCACAGGTCGTGTACAACGTGGGACTCTGCATCTGTCTGTTCGACATCACCAAGCTGGAGGACTCCTACGTGTTTCCCGGGGATGGCGCGTCACACACCAAAGGTGGGTGCCCTCTCTTCCTGGGGCGTTGGACTTTTGAGGCTCAGTTGTCAGTGATGAGAGTCCTGTTGTGGGCGTTGGGAGACCTGAGGCCCAGTCCCAACTCTGCCAGGGACTGACTCGGTGGTGAAGGGCAGCATCTTCTCTCTGGGCCTTAGTTTCCTCACTTATACGAGATGGCAGGTGGCCCTGGCCTGGTAGCTCAGTTGGTTAGTGCGTGATCCCAAGACGCCAAGGTTGCAGGTTCAGTCCCCAGGCAGGGCACATACAAGAATCAACCAGTGAATGCATAAGTAAGTGGAACAACAAGTCAGTTTCTCTCTATCTCTCTTTCCCTCCTTCCCCTCTCTCTCTAAAACCAATAAATAAAAATTTTAAAGAAAGAAATGGGAGGTGGACACTCCTCTCCAGCCCTGAGATTGCAGCTCTGTGTCCATGCCCCCTGGGTCTCACCTGCTCCTGAACCCTGCTGTGTGCCTGGCCCTCAGGCTGTTTGGTCCGGGGCAGTGGCAGGGCAGAGGGAGGGAGCAGGCGAGACAGCTTAAGACACTTGGAGAGGTGGAAGGTGTGGAGAGCAGAGGGGAGCGCAGCTGCCCCCCCCCAGGAAGGCTGGGGATGGGGGGTTTCGAGGGGCACTAAGACATAACGGCGAACAGTGTGGCCTCTGGGTTCAAATCCCAACTCTGCCTCTTCTTCACTGTGTGTCTCCAAGCCTCATTTCCTCACCCATAAAATGCATTTAACAGTAGTTTTGCTATTACAGGACTGTTGTGAGGATTACTGTCTTAACGCACGGAAAGCTCTCAGGACAGGACTCGGGTGCATAGTGAACTTCCCCCCCAAAATCTGTGGGTAAAGATTTTATTTATTCTTAGAGAGAAGGGAAGGGAGGGAGAAAGACGGAGAGAAACACTGATATCTCTGTTCTGTGTGGTCTCCCCTTTCAGTGGGCTGGACTTGGCTGAGAGCCCCTGCTTATTATCCCATTGGCCAAAGCAGATCACATGGCTGAAGGCAGCTTGAGGGGGGAGGATGGAGAAGTAGGCTACACCTCTCCATGTTGTCTCATTGCAAAGGCGCATGCACTGAGGATGCGAGGGAGATGCAGAGGAAGGATCCCCTTGCGAAGAGCTCTCCCAGCCAAATCAGAAGCAGAGGGCAAGGGGGCCATTTAGGTGGTTCAGGGCTGGCTGGAGTCTGGGCGGGAGACCTGCTGTGTCTGCCCCAGGCCTGCAGGATCACAGTGTCTCGGGGTGGAGTCCGCAGACTGTTCTAACCAAGGACCTGGTGGTTCTCACACGGGGCCACCTTTGAGGAGCTCTGCCCTCGCTGGCACTGCTCAGCCTCCCAGCTCAGGCACAGAGATGTGAAGCGTTTCAGAGCGAGAGGCTGCCTGGCATCCATGTCTAGGGACGCGGGAGCTTCATTAGCTCTCGTGCGTGCCACCGTGTTCTGCTGTTTGAAGGGACTTGGAGCAGTTTCATTAGCAGAAAAACAAGACGGAGCCCCTGTCTGCGGAGAAGGGTACTGTCCAGATGAGCCAGTCTCTGCCTTTGGGTGGGGCCTTGGTTGTCCAGGGGACAAGTAATAAGAGGTACCAGAAAAACTGGGAGAAAAAAGTTAAATTTGAAAAAACCCTCTCTGTTCATTTGGTCGTTTCTGCCACTGCCACCGGGTGTGAGATTTCACTTGGTTTTCTCATTGCCCCTCCAGTCACCAGGTCCCACGTTTTTTTGGGAGTGAGGTGTGAGGAGCAAAGCGCTGGGCTGGGCCCCTCATGGGCCTAGATTCAAATTCTGGCTCTGGCCCCCTGGGTGGAGACCTTGGACAAGTAACTCCACCTCTCAGTCTCAGTTTCCTCATCTGTGAAATGGGGCTAACCCTGGCAGCTGTAAAGCTCCTTGTGGCCCCTTGAGTACTGTGCAGGGTGGGTTGTTGATTTGTGGTGGGGATCAATCTCCCTGCTTCTGTGCTGACCCTCCAGCGGGCCCCCTTGCCCCACAGCCCAGGGCTGTGGCTGAGAATGTGCCGGGAGCGCCCAGCACCGCGGCTCTGCCTTTGCCTGGAAGGTTCATTTGCCAGTTGTTTCCGTTCCTTCCGCTTCTGCCCAGGCCAGGTCGCTTTACTTCTCTAAGACTTGGGTTCCATATCTAGAAAAATAATATAATAATAATAGTAGTAATGCTACCCATCGCCTAAGATGAGTGTGAAGAGTAAATGGGAAAAACTGTGTGGCCTTTGGCACAGAGGAAGTACTCACAAGATGCCGGCCATTGTGATTTGTGGCAGTGGCCGATTGGCCAGCCTTCTGTCTTGTCACTTAGGGTGTTTTTGCCTGGCACCAGCCCCGTGACCCTGGGAGCACGTGGCCGCCCCTGGGAAGCCCCTTTGACCTGCTCCGACACCCGCCCAGGCCGGGTTGGGGCCTGATCGGGGCTCCCCAGTAAGCCTGTTGTCTTTGTGCCTGCCGTTTGCTTTGTCCTTTTTAATTTGAAGTTGTGATAAAATATATATAACATGAAACGTATCACTCTGAGCACTTTGAAGTGTGCGGTTCAGTGCCGTTGAGTGCACTTGCGTGGCTGTGCCACCGTCGGCATCCCACTCCAGAGCTTTCAGGTCATGAGGAACGGAAACCGCCCACCACACACCGCCTCCACCCCGCCCCCGGCCCCAGCAGCCTCCGCCCGACTTTCTGTCCACGCCTTTGGCTCCTGGGAACCTCACAGAAGTGGAGTCCTGTGGCATTTGTCCTTTGTAGAAATTCGGTCATCCTGACGCAGCTCTCCTGTTCTGAACAATCGTACCCAAGCCCACAACGGAGAACAGGTCTTCCTGCTCTTAGCGGCACTTCAGACCCACCCTTCCCGACTTTCCACACTTCCTGCCTGCACGCTGCGCATCCCAGAGCCCCGCACGGCCCTGCACTGCTCTGTCCTTGCCGGCCCTCCAGCTGGTCTGTGGCTTCCTTTTTGTGTTTAAACTGAGATAAAGTTCACCCTTTTATCTATTTTTATTTTTAAAGATTTTATTTATTTATCTTTAGAGGGGAAGGGAAGGAGAGAGGGAGAGAAACATCAATGTATGGTTGCCTTTTTGTGCGTCCCCTGCTGGGAAGTGGCCTACAGCAGGGAACCGGCGTGCAACCCAGGCATGTGCCCTGACTGGGAATCGAACCGTGATTGTCTGGTTCACAGGCCCGCGCTCAATCCACTGAGCTACACCAGCCAGGGCAGTTCACCCTTTTAAAGTGAACTTTTTAAAGTTCACCCTTCCAGTGACTTTCAGTGTATTCACAGAGCTGTGCAACCATCTCCGCTAATTCCAGAACATTCTCATCACCCCAGAAGAAACCCTGCGTTCATTTAGTTCGCTCAGCCCCTGGAGTCACTAACCTACTTCTGTCCCAGATTTGCCCATCTTGGGCATTCACAGAGGCAGAGTCACACGCTCAGTGGCCTTTGTAAGTGGTTTCCGTCACGTAGTGTGGTGTCCTCCACGTGGGAGCGCACACCAGCACTTCTGTCTCTGGAGGCAGAACACTGTCCCATCGCCCGGATAGGCTGTTGTGTTCGTGGCCGCCCGTCGAGCCCTGGGTGGCTCGCTGTGTGCTTCTGGGTGTGCTGTGGCTGCTCCGGACAGGGGCGCCCGTTGTCCTGCCCCCTCCCCGGAAGTCCAGTGCTGAAGTCCGCCTGGCACAGACTTGGTAGAGGCTCTGTGGGGGTTGTTACACTGAACTGATGCTGTATCGTGTGGGGGATAGGGACCTTCCGTCCTGCGGGTGGGTGACCCTTGGCCGCTCTCGGCCGCTTACTCTCCTTGAGGTCAGGCGAGGACCTGCCATCTTCACGATGGCTGAGCTGATTCTCCTCCTCCCTCGGCTCCCTGCCTGGAGTCACGAGGCGGCAGCCTGGCAGGGTGCTGGGGGCCACGTGGGCCTGCTGTCCCTTGGCAGACCAGGCAGCTGAGGGTGCTGGTAGCAGAAGCCTATGTGGGGAGTGAGTCTGTCTGAGGAGGGCAGATTCAGCCCCATGGCCCTGTCTGGGGGTCATGTGTGTGGTTGCCTCTCATGTGCCCCCTACTGGGGGCCTGACCTGGCCCAAAACCCAGACATGTGCCCTGACTGGGAATCGAACCAGCAATCTTTTGGTTCATAGGCCAGCACTCAATCCACTGAGCCACACCAGCCAAGGCTGCAGAAGCATTTTTGCTAGGTGATCAGCTCTGTCCCCCTTAATGTCAGGGCATTTTTAGCATTGCATTCCAGGTCAGAGCTGTGCCTGGGGCAAACTGTACCAGTCGGTGGGAGCCTTTGCCAGGCCCTGCCACCCTTTTTAGGATTTAAAGGAGAGAGCCTGGAGGAAGATTGGACATGACTTTGGGGTCGTCGATGGCCCAGAATATGGACTCAGGTGTGACTTTTCTGATGGATTTGGGAGCCAGCCCCCAGTTCTGGGGTGTTGCTGCTGGCCTCCCGTGAGGGCCAAGCTGCGGCCTTGCACGGAACCGCGTGAAGTTCCCTCTGGCTCCACTGTTGTGTCTGGGCCCACAGAGGGGCTCCATGGGGACTGCTGGGCGGGCTCCTGGAGCAGCCGAGGGCCCTCTGGGTCAGTGTGCTGGCCAGTGAGCGCCACCCTGGTGGAAGCACCCGTTCCTCACATGCTTGCTCATCACTGACGTGCTTTCTTCGTTTCCAGTCCATTTTCGCTATGTGGTGTTCCACCCGTTCCTGGACGAGATTCTGATTGGGAAGATCAAAGGCTGCAGCCCCGAGGGAGTGCACGGTAATGGTGGCCCTGACTCCTGAGATGGGACCTGGGAGCACAGTGGGATCAGTGGCTAGGGCCATGGCCAGGCCAGCCAGCCAGCCTGCCTTTAGCCTCTGTGCTGGGCCACATGGTCAGGGGAGCAGTCAGATACAGAAGCAGAATGTCGCCACAGTGTCAGAAAAGCTTGTCGGCGAGAACACCCAGCCCCCTCTTGTGTTCCTGTAACAGTGAGGACCTTGGTGGGCTGTGAGGCTTCACCGTGAGGCCAGACATCAGGGTGGGCCCTGGTCAAGGTGACTCAGGGGCCTTGGCACCCCCTGGTCCATGCTGTGTGCGGTGTCCACCTGCAGTTTTGGGTGGCTGCTCAAGGTGTGTGAGTGGCAGAGGCAGAGGCCCGTGTAGGACTGCAAGGGTGGGGCGGGGCCCAGGTTTCCCTGGTGACATCTGCCCCCTAGGCAGCACATGGTAAGGAACTTGCCTCTTCAGTACCCAGACCCCTCCATGTTGAACCGTCCACTGTCTTCAGTCTCTCTAGGGTTCTTCGACGACATTCTCATCCCCCCGGAATCGCTGCAGCAGCCCGCCAAGTTGTATCCTCCCAAGGTTAGAGTGGGTCGCAGCGGGGCTCGGGCCAATCTGAAGGCTGGTCCTCACCCCCGGGCGTGGCCCTGGGTCCTGTGACCTGATGCTGCTGGCCTCTGTGCCCACACCGCCTGGGCTGCCCTGCTGCCTGTGGTGCCCACACGCCCGTCGTCTCTCTGGGCTGTACACGCAGGCAGGGTGCTGTTCACTTCCTGCCCCCTTTGCTTTGGTCGTCCACGCAGGAATCGTCTCAAAGGTGACTTCCCTCGAGAGCTTTGCCCCAAATGGCTCCCATCCCCTCCTCTCCTCCCTAGGCTGCAAATGGAAGTAGCACCAAGCATTTGAGGGCTTGGCTGTGAGGGTCCTGGTGGGGTTGGTGCCCTCTATTCATCTTCCCCATTGTCCCTGTCCCAGCCCTTCGCTTGCTGCACTGAAGTTGTCTGTTTCTGTGCATCCTCACTGAGACTGCTCACTGGGAGGTACCCCAACCTGTCATGACTGTACCCAAGGTGCCCACTGAAGGACCAGGCACAGGAGAGGCAGGACCCAGGCTGCCACTAGAGGGCAGCACTGGCTCCTCAGTGTGGGCTCCGTAGGGCAACCCTGGGCTGCCAGTGTGGCACACAGCCCCGGCTGGGCCTGTGCAGGGCCAGGGTCAAGGTCTGTGTGAGTCTAGAATTTGTCAGAAAACCTGACCTAGCCCTGCCGGTCCTCTTGCCAGCTGTGGGCCCTCAGGCACGTGACCTTCCATCCCACCGCCAACCCACTGAACTCTAGGGAAGTCCTTGTGCTGCCCAGTCAGTGTCACGAGGTGCAGATGGAAAGGGATGTGGAATCGCACCGTGCACAGAAGCAGGCTAGCTTTAGCTAACATGGGAGGGCCAATGGGGAGCGCTTTGTTTTTTTCTTCCTCACCACACCCTTGCAAGGGGGACCTTGCCACATAGCCCGTTTGTAGACATGGAGACCCTGAGCCACTGAGAGGTTGGGCCTGACCTCAGGTCACAGCTGGCAGGTTGTGGAGCTGATTCTGCACTTGTCAGTTGGCCTCAGAGAGGACCCACGGGCGGAGTCAGACCGGGCAGGGAGGGGACCCCAGGCAGCAACAGGCCTCAGTCACTCCCATCTTGAAAGGCGAACTTGAGCTCTGCTCTTGAGCCTCCCTGCTTTTATGACCTGCAGGTACTCGGTGGGGGGCCCCCGTGTTCCCAGTCTGGATCCTGGCCCCAGCAGCTCTCACTCCTTTCTGGGGGGCCTGGATCTAGCCCCGCCTCACCCTTGGCACGTGGGCCTGCTTTCCCTGTGACTTCCCAGCCAAAGGGAGGGTCGGGTGCTGGGGGAGGAAGCCCCAACCCTCAGGAGCTCCCCCACGGCTTGATAGTTGCCTTGACCTGGGCTCCACCCAGCGACGAGGCAGAGCAGATGTGGGTGTGGGAGTATGAGACCGAGGAAGGTGCGCACGACCTGTACATGGACATCGGGGAGGAGGTCCGCTTCCGGGTGGTGGATGAGAGCTTTGTGGACACGTCCCCCACCGGGCCCAGTTCTGCCGAGGCCACCACCTCTACCAGTGAGGAGCTGCCAAAGAAGGAGGCCCCATACACGCTTGTGGTGAGACATCCTGATGCGCCGCCAAAACCCCAGGGACCAAGTGGTGGCAGAACCCCGCTGTGGAGTGGTAGGGGAGCCGCCTCCCTGTGTGGTGACTTGGGTCCCAGTCCTAGAACCCCCTCTCCCAGCAGGTCAGGGTGAGGTGATAAAGCGGTCAGGAGTCAAAGCCCCAAGAGGAGGGATGAGGCTGCAGAGACGGTGACCCTCAGGGCTGCTCCCCAGCCAGATTTGACGTGGGTTCCGTTTGCCTTTTATTTTCACGAACTCAGACAGTGACACATGGCAAAAGTGGGATTTCGGGGCCCTCCTCATAGGGCTTCTGGTGTAACGTGGACCCTGGGTTATTCCTTTTGGTGGCAGCTATCTTTGCCAAGAATCCAGGTGGCCCAGGGCATCCCCTCTCATGTATTTGGCGGCTGGGCCTTTCTGGCAGGGAGACCACAGGGGGTTTGGGAGGGCATACTCATGACTGGCCTGAGGGTGCCCAGGTTTGGACAGGCCTGAGGACAAAAAAGGGGACACCTGACCTTGAGACCTTGAGGCCAGGGGCTGTGTCCTTAGTAAACCAGTACTTTCCTTAGAGGCCTCAGGAGAAGCTGGGGCAGGAGAGGGGAGGCCAGATGTGCGCTCACACGCACCAGCCGTGAGTGCTGGGCCTGCCCTGTGCCCAGACAAAGGGCCCCTTCTGCCTCCAGCTGCAGTTGGCTCAAGCCCTGAAGGTAGACGAGATGCTCCTATTCTCTCTCCCCTCCTGGCAGGGATCCATCAGTGAGCCGGGCCTCGGCCTCCTCTCCTGGTGGACCAGCAGCTAGCCCTGGGGTTCAGCTGTGAACCAGCCCATGTCCGCAGACCCCAGCCCTGGGAAGGGCCTGAACACCGTGGCCGCCTCACAGATGCCAAGGAACTGAGTCTGCGCAATGTGGAGACGCAAGGCAGGGCAGCCAGCTTGTCCCCTCCTCTGCCACCCAGGGCTCATTCCTCTTTCTGGAAGTCCTGCTCTCAGTGACAGCAAAGACATTTAATAAACAGTGGAGACGTCCATTGAAGAGCCACCAGTTTCCCTGGCTGTCGTCATGATTAAGGTCATCGAGCTGCCACAGCTGGGACAGCATGCCCTTCATCTCTTGAACTTGCTTGTGGAGATGGCCCCCACACATAGCAGAAGGTGGGGGCTGGGAGAGCCAGGCTGCCTCAGGCCAGGCTTTGGGCTGGTTGAGCTTGGTGGCTCCTTAAGGTGATACAGGGAACAAAAGGCTGGCCTTGGGTGGCTGCCTGGGGCCATGGAAGAGCCTGAGGGTAAGGACAAGTGACCAGCTATGTCACCACCTCAGAGCAGGATGCCTGGGGACAGCTGTCTCTCAGACCAGCCACATTAGGAACACCCTGTGGGTCTGCCACGGACCCCCAGAGCCTGATAGGAGTGCAAGAACCCCATCATTTATTCACCAGAATGGCTCTGCCAAGCTCCTCCTGCCCTTCCGCTTAGTTCTGTAAGGACCAGGACACCGGTTTTGTAGTTAAGTCTTGTTTTGGCAAAGGGGCCCCTCTGTCCTGCCCTCCTGGCCTCTCTGGCCCACACGTGGCACAGGAACATGGAGGCATGGGCAGTGCCAGGGAGCCGTGTGCACGGTGGACTGGCTGTGACCTAGGACAGGGTGGCCTGTGTGGAAGATGGGGGCTGTGCCCACTTGAGTGTGGAGGACCGGATGCCCAGGGGAAAGGGAGGTGGCGGTACCGGAGTTCTGGCCGAACAGCATCAGGGTCTGGTCTTAGCCGCACAGGAAGGGAAGACTTCCCCTGGGGCCTTCCCCAGGCCCACCCCGGGATGGAGGGGGGGAGCCTGCCAGCTCCCGTCTCCACTGCAGCGTTGGGTCCAGCTGCGTTGTGGTTATTGAGGGCCTCTGCCAACCCCAGTGAAAAGACCCCCGCAAACCCTGGAGTTGATAATGCCACCACCACTCACACACGGGAGCCATCGCTGAGTGTGAGTTCTTATTTTCCTTGCAAGACCAAAAGGTTCCTTAAAATCCTTCAGCCACCAGTGAAATGATCAGACAGGAGAAAAATTTTAGATGGGAGTCTTGTCATCAAAAATAAATACAGTTGGTTCACGATCTGAACCGAGAACAGGAAGGCAGATTAAGAACCCTGCAACCTCGGGTCACTCCGCGGGCTGAGGCGGGAGGGTGGGAGGCCTGGCCGCACCACCTCAGTGCAGGAAGCCATGGCCAGGTCTATCAGGTGTGGCTTGACTGTACTCGCGCCACCAGAGCCGAGTCCGAGGAGCAGGACGGGCCCTTACTGCTGCTGCAGCTCCTTCATTCTGTTGAGTGCACTGCCGGCGCGGAACCACTCGATCTGGGTCTCGTTGAAGGTGTGGTTCAGAAGGATGGTCTCCTGGGTGCCGTTGGGGTGCTTGATGATGCATGTCAGGGGCTGCGAGAGAGGAAGTGGGTGTGGGTGGGGTAGCCCTTAGGAACATGGCCCTGGGGTCTGCTGGAGGGTCAGGAAGGCAGGGCACTACTCTGGGGCCTCTGGGGCCTCAGGGCCCAGCAGGGAAACCAAGTTCTAGGCCAGGTCTGGGCCCAGGTGGCAATGGTAAGAACTGAATAGCGTAACTCCTGAGGTGTTGGCCTCTCAGGGCCAAGCCTGAGCTAAGGAGTGCACAGTAGGAGGGCCTGAGATAGCCCCACCCTCACCTCTGGGAAGGCACTTCCCTCCCCCTCTGGGAGCTGCCTGGAGAATTGTAAGGGCCCTTCTAGCTGAAACAAAGGCTCATGGGAAGAGGTGCAGGTGGGGCCAAGTATAGAAAGGGAAGCAAGGTGGTTGCCCCCTCTACTCCCCCCTCAAGAGGGCCCTTGGGGAGATGGCATGGCCAGCCTGCTCTCCTTCCCTGGCCCCCTGACCTTGCCAGGGGCAAAGTCCTTCAGGCCTTGGATGGTCAGCTTGTCCACAGGGTGAATCTTGTTGTAGTCAGCTGGGTCGGCGAAGGTGAGGGGCAGCAGGCCCTGCTTCTTCAGGTTGGTTTCTGGAAGGCAGAGGCACACTCAGTCCATGGTGGGCGGGCCCCATCGCCCCTCTGCAGAACCTCACCAGCTGGAGAGCTTCCTTTCCTAGGCTCAGTTAGGGCTCTGGACACACCCTTGTCCTGCCACCAGGGACAGGTGTGGGGCTAGGGCCCTACGCCAGCATGCGGGGTGCTCCCATCTCTGTGAAGCCTTCCTGACAGATATTCACCAGCGGAAAAACCCCTTTGATCATGAGCCCTAGATTTCCACTGTTTAGGTCCACAAGTTTAGAAGGAAGATTGGTGCTTGCCAGAGGCGGGAAGCCATGGGCGGCACAAGTCTGAAGGGGCGGAGGCTGGTGGGTGTGGAAGACAGGAGCTGCGGGAAAGGCCTGGAAGCCAGGCACATGGCCCCAGCCCAGCTCAGCCACTGGCAGCTGGATGATCTTGACCTTGGGCTGCCAAGGAGGGGAGTGGGTGGGGCTGGGCTGGAGTCCAGCTCACCGTGGATCCTGGCGAAGCTCTTGGTGATGATGGCCCGACCCCCGAGGTGGCGGGGCTCCAGTGCTGCGTGCTCCCGGCTTGAGCCCTCACCGTAGTTCTCGTCTCCAATCACCACCCACTGGATGCCGTGTTTCTGTCAGGCGTGGGAGTGGTGGGGTATGAGGGAGGAGGGCCTGTACCCCTGGGCTTCCTGAGGTTCACAGGACAAGGGGCTACAGAGTCCCTCTGTCACCTGCTCCCCAAGGACAGGTAAAGGCAGAGGTGAATCAGGTCCGAACTAGGCCCTGAGCACACAGGTGAGGACACACGGGCCCTGTCTGTTGTAAGGGAACACGCACGGCCCCCGCCACTGGCACAGCAGAAGCCGGCTGGGTGGAGGGCCCCGGGGCAGGCCCAGAACCCAGAGCAGTGGGTGTGCAGTGAAGGGGACACACACAGGACTGCTCCATGGCACTGGCCATCGTTCAAGTGCAGAGCTTTGGGTGTGGGCTCCTGGATGGACAGCACCCCTTCCCCGGACCACCCTCTATCCCACCCAGTTACCAGGAGGTGCCAGAGGACCCCACCCCTGTCCTGGTTGAGTCTGACCCACCTTGTAGTAGCGGGCAGTGTCAGGGACAGGACCAAACTCCTGGGTGATGGCATTGCGCACGGAGTTGGCCTTGCCATTTTCGATGTTGATGGCGCCAATGAGCAGGTTGTTGGAGATGTTGTCCAGATGGCCACGGAACTTGAGCCAGGGGCCAGCAGCTGAGATGTGGTCAGTGGTACACTTCCCTTTGACCTTGGGTGGGTGGGCAGAGAAGACAGGTTGGGGTGTGGCCCTTGACTGGTGGCTAAGGGGAGAAGCCCTCCAGAGGCAGGCAGCAGGCCAGTCCCCTTCTGGGGACCCAGGAGGGGCAACAAGATAAGCAGGTGCAAGATACAAAGTCTACAATCCTGGCATTGTCACCTCTAGCCAAAATGGCCCAGACAAGGCCATCACACCCTTCTCAAAGGCCATGGGAGTGAGAGTGTCAGAAAAGGACACTCAAAGGGGGCAGTGGCGAGACAGGCCAGACAGATGCGTCTGCTCATTCAGCCTTCAGGCCTCGGCCCCCGGTAAGAGATGCCCCAGTCAGAAGCCAGTTACAGACTTCATGCTGGACTCAGACAGCGGAGCAAGGGGGTGTGTCTGGGTCCTGGCAAGCCATCCATCAGTTTCATTTACCCTGTAGGCTTAATACTGGTGGTGCCACTGTTTGGAGACCCCTTAGTCGACAGCAGACATTCACGGCCTGCCTGTTTGGCCTCATCACAAAGGCTGTGCAGCTCAGCGCCCAAACACAGGCCACACCGCTGATGGCCGACTGCGGGAGCGGCAATCAGTGACTTCTGGGGCCTGTTTGGTCAAACCCGAGGGGTGGAGACCTGCTATGCTGGATCGCACATGCCTTTCTTGCCCTTCTTGTGGTGCATTCACTGTCCACACCCACTGGGGGTGGCACTAACCAGTCACAGCCAGGTGGCTGAGAGCCCCAGACAGCAGCTGGCATGGGGCTGCCACGAAGGGGACTCTGGGCTACAGACGCCCTGGCCCCTCTCCAGCCAAACCTCCCTCCCTGCCCCCACCCTAACCATGCCCTGCTGCTTCCCAGGCCCAGAGGAGGGCACGTGGTCTCAGCCAGCCTCCCTGGTGATCCAGGAAGGGGGCCCTGGCGGGCAGGGGCTGTGCCCCCTCGTCCCCACGTTACTGACCTTGATGAGGATCTGCAGGTCCTCTAGGTCTTTGCCATCCCACTTGTCAAAAGGCTCAAGAAGCTGCAGGCGTTGGCTGGTGGGGCTCACATCCACTCGCTGCCCACTGCTGTCCTTGGGCGGGTGCTGGTAGGTGTCCTGCCCGGGGTCAAACTCCTGTAGGGGGACAGAGACATGCTGGGTATGGCAGAGTCCTCAGTCCCTTCTGGCCAGAAGACAAGCCTCCGAAGCAAATACAGCTCTCATCAAAGGTGTCCCCATGCCCACCCAAGACGGGCAGCGGCCTGAGGCTCACAGGCCGAGGCAGGTCTGCAGCGCCAAGAGCAGGGGCGCGGAGCTGCTCACCGTGCGGGGCAGCTCGTCTGCGTCCGGAGCCTCTAGCTTGAACTTCTTGCCATCCTTGCCTGTCAGGAAGTCAGTCTCTGGGTTAAACTTGAGGGTGCCAGCGATGGCCAGGGCTGTGACAATCTGAAATGGAGGTGGCCAGTGTGTTGATCAGCACCAAACACCACTCCTGTCCCCCAAACCCAGCCAAAGCCTAAATCAAAATGGAGAGTGAAGCCCAGAAAATGTCCAAGTTCTCCGCAGAGGCTGGAGCTGGTCTGCAGACTCATTAACCGCGGGCAGTTGGGCCTCGCCCACACCCTGCTGGGGCCTGGACCCCGGCCCCCACAGGGCAGGGCCGGCACGGCTGGGTACCCCTCCTCTCCTGCAGGCGTGCCTCCCGGCACAGAAACACTACTGGGATGAGAATGGCCCTGCGTGGGAGCACACTGGAAACGTGAAGGACCATCATGTCACTCA